GAATTCTGGGAGTTGGAGTCCGCAAGTCATGAAGGAGCCATAGTTGCCTCATGCTGGCTCAGGAATTCTGGGAGTTGAAATCCACGAGTCATAAAAGAGCCAAGGTTGCCTACCCCTGGACTAGCCATATTTTCTGTTACGAATATTGGTGTTTGATGGAGGACTGGAATGGAATGGTCTCCATAGATATATTTCTGGGGAAAATATTAGAATTACTTAAGGCAAACTTCAAAAGAAGAGGCTTTTTTTTTTAAATTTGAAGGATAATTTTTGGCGTAGGTTGATATACGGAGACAGAAATTGACCGTTCAAGTGAGGGCACCTACTTTTCTGAAAGACATCAATCGTTTGCAAGAATAGCTACGGTTTGGCTTCCAAAGAACTTGGCTTCCAATGTTTCTAAAGCAGAAGTATTTCCAAAGCGTCGTTCAGATGATACTGCAATCCTGTGAGTTTGGTTTATAGAAGGAAATCTACTTCCTCTAGTCTAGAGCAGGCTCTTTTATGACTTGTGGACTTCGGTTCTCAGAATTCCTGAGCCCACGTGGAATTCTGGGAGTTGAAGTCCACAAGTCGTAAAAGAGCCACCGTTTCCCACCCTTGCTCTAGAGCAGGGCTGTTCAAACTTGGCAACTTTAAGACTTGTGGACTTCAACTCCCAGAATTCCTCAACCAACTCTGGATGGCAGAAGAATTCTGGGAGTTGAAGTCCACAAGTCTTAAAGTTGCCAAGTTTGAAGACCCCTGCTCTAGAGGGAGACTATATGTTGCTACAGAAACAAGCAATAGTGGGGAAATTCAAAAATAAATCAAAAGTGGTGTTTTTTTAAAAAAAATAATGTAGATAAAGATACTGATTTCAGAATAGTTTGGGATGCAAGTAAAGCTTTCATTCATTCATTCATTCATTCATTCATTCATTCATTCATTCATTCAGTTTGCTAACCATCTCACCAACATTGGAACAGTGAATACAAAAAGAAGTCAAGAGACAACGCATGGATGAGATAAATGAGAAAAGAAGATAAATTAAAGACATTTCCAGAGAAGATCAGCATTTCTTAACAAACCTTCTTCGTATCCTCACAGCAGAGTAGAGTTTCCAACAGCAAAAAATATTTTTTCTATGGGTTCTTCCCAGACACAAGAAATGTTTGTTGTCAATCAATGAATGAAAACTATGCTATTCTCCAGCATTTGAGAAGCTTCCTCAGGGCCACCTTCACCTCCTTGTTGCGCAGGCTGTAGATCAAGGGGTTCAACATGGGGGTGACGATGCAAAACATGGTGGAGATCAAGGTGTCCACCTCTAGAGAGTAGCCAGCACGGGGCTGGTTGTAGTTCACAAAGGCATTTCCAACAAAGAGTGTTACTACAGCAAGGTGTGAAGTGCAGGTGGAGAAGGCTTTGTGCCTGCCGATCCTGGAGCGGATTTGCAGAATGGAAGACAAAATGTAGAAATAGGACAGGACGATGAGCAGAAGAGGGATGAGACCCACCAAGGTGCCCGTGATATGAGTGGATAACTCATTGACCGAGGTGTCACTGCAGGCAATTTTCAGTAATGGAGGAACATCACAGAAGATATGAGGAATCAGGTGGTTTCCACAAAACTCTAACCTGGAAGCCAGGGCAGTGTAGATAGCTGAGTCCAGGAAGCCCCAGAGCCAAATGGCCACAGACAGCTGGGCACACAACTTGCCCCTCATCAGATGGGCATAGTGCAAAGGTTGGCAGATGGCAGCATAGCGGTCATAGGCCATGACGGACAGCAGGGCCGGCTCACATCCTGCAAAGCCAATAAGGAAGAAGGCTTGTGCCAGACATTGGTTGTAGGAGATGGTCTGTTCTTGGCGTAGGAAGTTTACCAAGATCTTTGGTACCACCACAGAAGAAAGGCAAACATCCAAGCAGGAGAGCTGGCTGAGGAAGAAGTACATGGGGGTGTGAAGACAGGAATCCAGGAGAATCAGGGTTATGATCATGAGGTTGCCCATCAGCGTGGCCAAATAGGCAGCCAGGAACACCAAGAAAAAGTGGACCTGGTGGCTCAGAAGGCTGGAGAAACCAAGGAGGATGAATTCTGTCCCTTGGGTTTTGTTCTCTGAATCCATGAGGAAGGAAAGGGACAGCTGGGAAGAGACAGAAATGCACAGAAGAAGAATGTGAAGAATGAAATTTGAAGGATCCCCTATACCTAAAAATAACCTGCATTAAGGGTCAAATATATACAGGTGAATATTTTGGGACCTTCCTTCCTTCCTTCCTTCCTTCCTTCCTTCCTTCCTTCCTTCCTTCCTTCCTTCCTTCCTTCCATTCCCTCCCATCCTTCCTTCCCTGCCTCCCTGCCCTTTCCTTCCCCACTTTGTTCTTGGACTAGAAGACCTTCAAGCTCCCTTTAAGCTCTATTCTGATTGAAGAGTAAGCTCCATTCGGCTGTGGTCACGTATTAGCCATTTCAGGATTCCTTCTCCCTCCTAATCTCTCTTTAAGTTCTTTAAGCTCTTTAAGTTCTCCCAATAAATGGGGGACTCAGCCCAGCCCAAATTATGCCCTTGGACATGCTGTAACTTCCATGGGGGACGCAGTGAATGCTTGACTTATTCTCAGCTTTAACACAGAAGAAGCCTACCCCTCCTTGATCTTCAAAATCCTAAAAGTCTTGGTAGGACATTGCCTCTCTCCCCTTCCACGTTGAAATTGAGGATGCTGGATGGACCACGAAGCGACTCACCTGGGCTGTTATTCCACCTGCAGGAGACCAGCTGTGGCTGAAGCAGAGTCACCTTCTCCCCTTGTTCTCCCACAGTTGGATTTGGACACAAAGAGATGGCAGCTGGCTCAGCCAAAGCTCTGCCCACGGAGCAGGAAGGGATGTTTAGAAGCTCATTCTCACAACAGAGGCAACACTCCTAGTCCCTGTATTATCCGTGACAGGTGGCAACTCATGGGGGAAAATGTGCCTTGGTGTGCTGGCCTTGAGAACATCCCTGCAGGGTGTAGAGCTGAGAGGAGACTCAGCAGGGACCCTCTGGGGCAAAACTCACACCTCGGACTTGTTAACTGGCACAGAGTTCAGGGCTGGGGAAAACAGTAGAAGGAAGAGAGCAAGGCTGACTAGCTTCATTCTGCATTGAAACTTAGCTAGTCAGGAAGAGAAATCAGAATTCAGTTCTCACTATAGTTTGTAGCTGGTCTTTCAGAAATGAATCCAAGGGGGTTTTACAAAATGCAAGATGTTTAAATCCTTCCTTCCTTCCTTCCTTCCTTCCCTCCCTCCCTCCCTCTCCCTCCTTCCCTCCTTCCCTCCCTCCCTCCTTCCTTCCTTCCCTCCTTCCCTCCTTCCTTCCTTCCTTCCTTCCCTCCCTCCCTTCCTCCCTCCTTCCTTCCCTCCTTCCCTACCTCCCTCCTTCCTTCCTTCCCTCCTTCCCTCCTTCCTTCCTTCCCTACCTCCTTCCTTCCTTCCTTCCCTGCCACCTTCCTTCCCTCCGTCCCTCCCTCCCCAGCTAAATTAGTAAAGGCCATTCTTCTTGCTAAGGCACACAGTTCAGTGCCTGATTGTATAATTTGGATTAGGGTTATAGATTATACATTTGTGTCAGGTCCACCATCATGTCCTGCTGTTCTATTGGAGGGGAGGGAGGAACTGTGGCAACTGATGACATTCATTTATCTTATTAATTTATTTTTTAAAAAATACATGACTGCCAATCCAATAACCAACTGCTCTGTCTTTGCAGAGTTGAGCTGAAGCTGGTTCCTCTCCATCCAGACCCTTATAGCCTTCCAGACACTCAGCCAGCACCTCCACAGCATCCCCTGTCTGGCTAGGGGTGGAGAGATGTATAATTGGTGACACCGAATCACCAGCCTACAAATGACAAATGCAGTTTTATGTAAATGATGGAGGTGAAAGCCTCAACCCTTAACCCCACCCCACATTACAAAGGCTTAAGGCTTGACCTCACATCTTCTACCTAACCAACTAGAACCAGCCATGAGGTAGGAGAAGAACCTCATACGGGCTCCTGTGTTCAGCTGGTCTCAGTCTTTGCCTTCCTCCAGTTCTGCTCCAGGCGTTCCTTATGTCGCTTCATCCCTCTGAGCTGCTTGGTGAACCATGGTTAATCCATGGGATCTCTGAGCTGTCACAGTCGTCCACTCTGTACAGTCATGGAACACAAAGTCTCCATGGGACACACCACTAAAAATGGAAGCCATCGTTCCTTCATAAACTGGAGATGTTTGTGAAAATTATTACGGAACCATCAGCTCATAAGACAAACAAGCTCCATCTTAACCTGTCATAGGACATCTTGTATTTGTGATTGGCTTTTAATTGGCCAGGACATATCTCAATTTTTCTGTTCTATATGCTCTGTGAGTGGATGAGATTTGTCTGACTCTATCTATCTATCTATCTATCTATCTATCTATCTATCTATCTATCTATCTATCTATCTATCTAGGAAGAGACTAGACTGCCATCTGTCAGAAATGGTGTAGGGTTTCCTGCCTGAGCTGGGGGTTGGACTAGATGACCTCCAAGGTCCCTTCCAACTTTACTACTATTACTATTACTGAATGACAATCCAACCCAAATGGACAGATTCACACAAGACGTGCAGCCTCAAGGGCATTAGCCCAGTCTAAACCCAATGCAGCTGCTGGCTAGTTTCGATTTAGAGTCATCAAAGATGTTTGCAATGCAGGATTGTAAGCATGTTCTGCAGAGCCTGCTGTCTCCTCCTCCTCCTCCTCCTCCTCCTCCTGCTCTCTTGGCCATCTTCTCGTGAGGCTTCCTCTCTTCTCACACAGGAGCTGACAGCCGTTGTCCCAATGATTGGCTCTCCAAGTACAACCATTGCTACAAGATCTTCGATGACCAAAAGAACTGGAACGATGCAGAGGTGAGAAGTGCTTGTGTGCCTGTGAATCTCCCAGCCCAGGCAGGGGAGAAGTCTAGGGAGAGCCTTGCACAGCCTCCCCCCCCCCCCCGAGTCCCCTCTGGCTAGGCTGCGGTGGAGAACCCCCCGGCTGTGTGGAGGGAAAGGTAGCAAAGACCATTGTTTTAGGACAGTCTGAAATGCGAGTGTTCCCTGGACTATACACCGGTGTGGCTTTCATGGCCCGTATCTGTTGGGCAGCGCTGAGCTTCAGGGTTGGGGGACCATCTTGCAGACCACAGACTTCCTGATGTCTCACTGGGAACTCCGGGGGCCTCCACAGATGCCCTTGCCTCTGAAGTGATGGGAATCAGAGCGTTTGTCTCAGGCGTCTAGATCAGGAATTGTCCAAGAGCTGCGGAATCTAGCAAGGGCCTCTGAGGGGAGTCAAGGCAGTCAAGAAGGTGGCTAGGGCCCTGCGATCAGATCCCTGTTCTTTTTTCATTTTCACAAATTGACACACGCGAACATATTTGCTTGTCTCCTTAACCACGGCCCTTTCCCTCTTCTCTCTCTCTCTCATCTCTCTCTTCTTCTCTCTCTCTCTCTCCCTCTCTCTTTCTCTCTCTCTCTTCTCTCTCTCTATCTCTCTGTCTCTCTCTATTCTCTCTCTCTCTTCTCTCTGTCTCTCTCTCTCTCTCTCTTCTCTCTCTCTCTAGTTCTCTTCTCTCCCTCCTCTCCTCTCTCTCTCTCTCTCTCTTCTCCTCTCTCTCTTCTCTCTCTCTCTTCTCCTCTTCTCTCCTCTCTCTCCTCTCTCTCCTATCTCTCTCTCTCTTCTCTCTCTCTCCTCTCCGTTCTCATCTCTTCTTCATCTCTCTCTCTCTCTCTCTGTCTCTCGTCTCTCTCTCATTCTCTCTCTCTACTTCTCTGTCTCTCCCTCTCTACTCTCTCTCTCTCTCTCCTCTCTCTCTCTCTCTCTACTCTCTCCCTTCTCCTCTCTCTCTCTCCTCTCTATCTCTTCCTCTCCTCTCTCTCTCTCTCTGCTCTCTCTCTCTCTTTTTTTTCTCTCTCTCTCTCCTCTCCTCTCTATTCTCTCTCTCTCTCTATCTCTGTTATCTCTCTTTCGCTCTCCTCTCTCTCCTCTCTCTCTTTCTCTGCTCTCTCTGCCCTCTCTCTCTCTTGCTCTCTCTCTCTAATTCTCTCCCTATCTCTCTCTCTCCGCTCTCTCTCTCTCCCCTCTCTCTATGCTCTCTCTATCTATCTCTCTTCTCTCTCTCTTCTCCGCTCTCTCTCTTCTCTCTCTCTCTCTCTCTGTCTCTCTCTCTCTCTTTCTATCTCTCTCTCCTCTCTATATTCTCTCTCTCTCATACCTCTCTCTCTACTTCCTCTCTCTCTCTCCCTCTTCTCTGTCTCTTCTCTCTTCTCTTCTCTCTCTCTCGTCCTCTCTTGCCTCTCTCTCTCTGCTTCTCTCTCTCTCTCTCTCTCTCTCCATCTCTCCTCTCTCTCCTCTTCTCTCTCTCTCTCTTCTCTCTCTTCTCTCTCTCTCTCTCTTCTCTCTCTATCTTCTCTCTCCTCTCTCTCTCTTCTCTCTCTCTCTCTCTTCTCTCTCTCTCTCTCTCTCTCTCTCTCTCTCTCTCTCTCTCTCTCTCTCTCTCTATCAGATGTTCTGCAGGAAACAGAAGCCAGGCTGTCACCTGGCTTCCATCCATAGCAGTGAGGAGTCAGCTGATGTGGCCAAGTACATCTCTGACTATATCAAAACTGGTAAAAGTGTCTGGATTGGACTGAAAGATCCAAAGAAAGTAGGTCTCTTTCTGTTGCTAATTTCATAAATCCATATTTACCTTTTCTATGAGACTTTTAACAGATCCTCCCATGGGAGGTAGGGATTTCTCTGATAAAAACTCTTTCTGAATTCCCCTCCCCTGAGCACACATTAGTCAAGCATAATTCCCTCCTCTAATTAGCAGTCATAAATCCCGTTCTCCAATCAGTTTGAAGGGCAAAGCTTCCCTTCTGTTCTGTAGCCTGCAGTTTCTTATCTTAACTAATCCCCACACACATTCTTTCTCCTCCCCTCCCAGCATCATCTAATTTAACTCTAAAAGTACCACACAGCTTATACAGAGAGTGGCTGCCTCTTCATATTTTGTCAAAGCAAGGATATCCAATGTTAGCAGCGTTGACACTCTTGCATTGGACAAAACCTCTGAAAAGCATCATTTACTCCAATGCTGTCTCTCCTTCCCCTCACCAACCATTCACGCCCAGTTGAAGAAGTGACTGCTGTGTTTAAAGCCCCAAAGGGTCAGATCCTGCTCTGACTTCCATCTCAGGATCAAGTCCATCTCCCTCACACTGACCTCCTCCTTCAGTCTGCCTTCCTCTTTACGGCCCATTGAGTGGTCTCTAAACCTTCTCAAAACCCTGGTAGGTCATTAATTTTGGGACTGCAGGTCCCAACCTGGGAGGGCTGTTCTCCTTTTTTTATTTTGTGCAGATATTGCTGATTTCTGTTATCAACAGAACATCTTGTCCTCTGCTGTCTTTTTATGAAAAACCTTTGATCGAAGAGACGTTTTCCTGGAACTGAGCTCAGTTCCCCGTGACTTTGTGAATACAAGTAGGATTTTGTGGCCACGATGCAATTGTCAGGACAAGAGATCAGGAACCAAGGTTGTTCAAACGAGTACAGGTTTAATCCATGCTAGATCTCTACAAGAATCCAAACAGCCAAAGCACTTTGGTGGTAGATAAAGATAAAGAGTCAACAGAATTCAAGGCGGGCTGGACTTAGATCTCTTGTGGGCACGAAGGGATTCCAGGCTGATGACTTGCTTGATCCCTCCCTCAGACAGCCTGGTCATCTCCTACAACAGTTTAGGTTTCACACACAAAAAAACAAACACGCACAGACACATTTCCAAGATGTTTTCCACTTTCCAAGTGTCCCTTATAGCCCTGGAATTTTGCTGGTGGTCTCCTACCCAAGGACTCTTTGAATTTGACCCTGTTTATCTTTCTGAAATCAATAAACAACTTCCAGGGCTGCCATCACGTTGCGCATGAGGCAAGATGGCTCTCAAGCTGAACTGGTGACCTCACAAACACCTCCAGGTAATTTTCCTCTAAGGTGTTTCTTCCTCTGGATCGCCTGATCGTCCCCCATCCAAGCATCCCCCAAGTTCAACTCTGCTTAGCTGTTCCAGATCAACCAAGATTGAGAGAGAGATGGAGAGAGAGAGAGAGACCCTTAAAAACTTTTCTTTTTGATCTGGACCTGAAGAGCCAGAGCCCCTTCCTCAATTGGCTAACGAGGCTTCCCTGTCATTACAGAAAGACAGATGGGAGTGGACAGACAGATCCAGAACCAACTATCTAGCCTGGGCACCTGGGGAGCCCAGTTACACTGGGGACTATGACTTCTGCGTTAACCTCAAGAACAGATCAAGTAAGCCAAGGGGTTGGGAAACATCTAAGGTGCAATTCTAGCAATGAGGATCTATTTGATCCAAGAATTAGTGAACTATATGAATTGGTAAAAAGGATCCCCTAGCCCAGGGGTAGGCAACCTTGGCTCTTTTATGACTCGTGGACTTCAACTTCCAGAATTCCTGAGCCAGCTGTGCTGGCTCAGGAATTCTGGGAGTTGAAGTCCACGAGTCATAAAAGAGCCAAGGTTGCCTACCCCTTCCGTAGCCGAAGCTGACCCCTGCCCCTCAAGCAAGAGCCATGACCCCCACATTGTATACCACATCCAGAGAGTCCTAGATGAAGTATCAACCATGTCTGGGGGTGGAAGGGAGAGCAAACACCCAGAGCCCCCTCTATCTTTTCAGGATTGAGTTAAGCTGGCCCTTACAGCCTCCAGGCACTCAGCCAGCACCTCCAGGGCATCCCCTGTCTGGCTGGGGGTGGAGAGATACAGTATAATTCATTAACCATTTGTGAAAATCATTGCAGGACAATCTGCTCATAATAAACAAGCAAACAAGCTCTGTCTTAACCTGCTTCTAAAAGGATGTCACTCTTATAGGAGACCTCACTTATGTTCTTTCCAGACTAAATATCCATCCGTCTTGTACCCCATCATATCCAGACAAATCTCAGCCATTCAAAGATTATATAAAAGGGAAAGTTGACACATGCCCCATACATTTAAAAACCAATCCCAAGAACATCCTAAATACACACACACACACACACACACACACACACACACAACAAAATAAACTTGATGGCTAGGTCCATTATTTGAGTTTGATAAACATGTTGAGTCTAAGCCCATTTTAGCAGACGAGGTTCTCCACCAGTGGTATCCTCGTGACCTCCTGAGAAGCCCTTGAAATAGTCTTTAGGGCAGGGGTCTTCAAACCTGGCCCTTTTATGACTTGGGGACTTCAACTCCTGGCTGAGGAATTCTGGGAGTTGAAGTCCCCAAGTCATCAAAGGACCAAGTTTGAAGACCCCTGTCTTAAATCTAACAAACAAAATGGAGGCTGGCTGAGGAATTCTAGGAGTTGAGGTTCACAAGTCATCAAAGGGCCAAGTTTGAAGACCCCTGTCTTAAATCTAAGAAACAAAATGGAGGCTGGCTGAGGAATTCTGGGATTTGAAGTCCCCAAGTCATCAAAGGGCCAAGTTTGAAGATCCCTGTCTTAAATCTAACAAACAAAATGGAGCTGGCTGAGGAATTCTGGGAGTTGAAGTCCACAAGTCATCAAAGGGCCAAGTTTGAAGACCCCTATCTTAAATCTAACAAACAAAATGGAGGCTGGCTGAGGAATTCTGGGAGTTGAGGTTCACAAGTCATCAAAGGGCCAGGTTTGAAGACCCCCACTTTAGGGACTCTGAGGGAGTCACTTCAAAAGAGGAATCATTTTTTTTTTTACTTCCCAGAGTATCGCAAATGGGATGATTCTGACTGCAACAGGTTGCATCCGTTCCTATGCCAGTGCCCATAACTCCTTTTCCTGCTCCACAATGATGAAGCCTGGAGAGGTAAGGAAGCCCACCCACCTACCGCAATCTCTGCTCTGGACCCCTTCTCTTAATGGATGCTCTCTGTAGCTTGGATCTGGTTTTCCTCACCCTGATGGGCCAGAGGGTCAAATAAATTCTATTTAGCACGACTGGCCTCCTTTATTCTGCAGAGCCAGAAGGTCCTGTTGAGGTCCAAAGCCAACAATCTTCTGCTCTGCAAGGCTTGGCATTAAAGGTGGGGGTGTTTCTTCAGAAGGACCATCCATGATGCTACATTGTTGTCTTGCACGTCCATCTCATTTTAATTGGACGGTGCGAACCCACTTTCCTGTCCTCAAAACGTTTCACGTTGACTATCCATGAGGTTTCCTTGGTCAAGTACAGAAGAGGCTTCGCACTGCCTCCCCCTGTAACTATGGATTCTTGCCCTGCTGTGGTCACTAAAGGGATCATCTCCCTCCAGCATCTTCTTCTGTTTCTGCTGCCCCCAAAAGGCACCTGGTTTATTTAGCTTGTTTCCCTTGGGTGACCCTATAGGAATGTGTTCACTCACACCCTCCTTAGCTCATGCTTCCCAGGAACACAATACCACAATAAGGACTTGGAAGTGGGGACGTAGCCCAAGAGCCGAGGTGGCGCAGCAGTTAGGGTGCAGTACTGCAGGCCACTTTAGCTGACTGTGTTCAGCAGGTCAGCGGTTCAAATCTCACCGGCTCAAGGTTGACTCAGCCTTCCATCCTTCCGAGGTAGGTAAAATGAGGACCCAGATTGTTGGGGGCAGTGTAAATATATATTCATTGCTTACTGGTGTACACCGCTTAGAGAGTGCTTGCACTTAAAGCGGTATATAAGTCTCATAAAATAAATAAATAAATAAGTGGCCCAACTGCCAAAGGTGTCAAAATCACACTTCTCCAGCCTGGCAAACAGCTTAGTACCAGTTTATAAAGCCCTAGTAAGACCACACCTCGAATACTGCAGCCAGTTCTGGTCACCCTATCACAAAAAAGATGTTGAGAGACTGGAAAAAAAATCCAGAGAAGAGCAACTAATAGGATCCAAGGCCTGGAGACCAAAACATACAAAGAACGGCTGCAGAACTTGGGTTTGGCCAGTCTAAACAAAAGAAAAAATAGGGGAGACAGGATAGCAGTGTTCCAGTATCTGAGGGGCTGCCACAAGGCAGAAGGGGACAGCCTGCTCACCAGAGCACCAGAGGGAAGGATGAGAAACAATGGTTGGAAGCTGGTCAAGGAGAGAAGCAACCTGGAATTAAGGAGAAACTTCCTGACAGTGAGGACAATCAACCAATGGAACAGCTTGCCACCAGAAATCATGGGCGCTCCAACACTGGAAGTTTTTAAAAAGAGATTGGACAATTATCTGACTGAAATGGTATAGGACCTCCTGCTTGAGCAGGGGGCTGGACTAGAAGACCTCCAGGATCCCTTCCAGTTCTATTCTATTCTATTCTATTCTATTCTGTTCTATTCTATTCTATTCTATTCTATTCTATTCTATTCTATATTTTCTATTCTATTCTATTCTATTCCCTATTTTCTATTCTATTCTATTCTATTCCCTATTTTCTATTCTATTCTATTCTATTCTATTCTATTCTATTCTATTCCTGTAGCCTTTGCAATACCTCCGGTTGCATTTGAGCCTCTGCAGCCTCGAGGTAAATCAAGATGTCATCTAGATAAAGCACCAGAAATTTGTCAATTACATCTGAAATATATCATTCATAAATCTGGAAAATACTGCTGTGCAATTACAATTAGCCAGTCTCAAAAGCATAATTAGATATTCAAACTCATCATCCCTGACATCAAAAGCTGTCAAATACTTTGACTCTAATGACCTTATAAGCGTTCCTGAGGTCCAGCTGGGTAAATATGTGAGCTATCTGCAATCGGTCCCTCATATCTGATCTCAGCAGCAGTGAGTAGTGATCCCTTATTGTGACCTTGTTTTGAAGCCCTTCTAATTGTGGAATGTGCAGATTGGAACCTGTCTCTTCGCTGCCCACCTGACAGAAGCAACTAGGAGGGTCTCCTGACCCATAGGATGCCTCGGCCCTCTTTCCAAGCTGAATACTCCCCTCCCACTGTGGGCGCTAGAGAAAGGGGCTGTGATCATTTCCCTGGATCTGTGAATAGTGAGTGGGGTGATGCTCCTTGTTCATGCCCTGCTGGTCATCCCGCTCTCCCTCCATGGGCACCTGGCTGGGCAAACTCTGATGTTCCCGGTTGGAGCAGAGAGCTAAATAATCCCATTGTCTTTGCCTTTCCTCAGCAGCTGCGGTTCCTCCAGCTGTTCCCAGTTGCATCAGCTCTCCTTCCCCAGATCAGCTGTGGTAGGTGTGAAGGGAGTGAGACTCGTGAGCTGGGATTGGCCTTGCACAATTGCACCCGTTTTCCTGATGCCAATCTCCCAAACGGGCATCTCTGAGGTGGCTGAGGAATTCTGGGAGTTGAAGTCCACAAGTCATCAAAGGGCCGAGTTTGAAGACCCCTGTCTTAAATCTAACAAACAAAATGGAGGCTGGCTGAGGAATTCTGGGAGTTGAAGTCCACAAGTCATCAAAGGGCCAGGTTTGAAGGCCCCTGTCTTAAATCTAACAAACAAAGTGGAGGCTGGCTGAGGAATTCTGGGAGTTGAAGTCCACAAGTCATAAAAGCGCCAAGTTTGAAGGCCCCTGTCTTAAATCTAACAAACAAAATGGAGGCTGGCTGAGGAATTCTGGGAGTTGAAGTCCACAAGTCATCAAAGGGCCAAGTTTGAAGGCCCCTGTCTTAAATCTAACAAACAAAATGGAGGCTGGCTGAGGAATTCTGGGAGTTGAAGTCCACAAGTCATAAAAGGGCCAGGTTTGAAGAGCCCTGGCATAAAGGATAACCCTTGCAATGTCTGTAGAAAATTCTGCAGGCAAAAACCAAAGAGTTTGGCCACAGATGCTTCCTCCCTCAAATGGACTCTCAGCTGGAACGTCCCTACTTCCCCGTCCACCAGTGGTTCTACCACAATGAAGAGTTCTCAAAGAAAGATAGTAATAGTAGTAAAGTTGGAAGGGACCTTGGAGGTCATCTAGTCCAACCCCCTGCTCGGGCAGGAAACCCTACACCATTTCGGACAAATGGCTGTCCAGTCTCTTCTTAAAAACTTCCAGTGTTGGAGCATTTACTGCTTCTGGAGACAAGCTGTTCCACTGATTAATTGTTCTCACTGTCAGGAAGTTTCTCCTTAGTTCTAGGTTGCTTCTCTCCTTGATGAGTTTCCACCCGTTGCTTCTTGTCCTGCCTTCAGATCCTTGTCCAGAGCCCTGATAAAACTCTTGATGCAGTTTCATCACACACTGAAAGAATTTCGGAGCCTACGTAACTTAGTGTTCAAAAATGAAAATATTTTTTTTTAATTCTATCGTGGGTTTCGCATGCATGTGTGAATTCATTTGCTACTCCAAGTTAAAGCTGTCATTAGAAATAATAAAAGCTAATGATAACCGGACAAATATAGCTATCAGGCCATTGCACATATGTAATACAATATCCTTTTTTTTTTTCTCCTGAATTCCACATGAACAATTTCTCTTAGCTGAGAAGTAAGGAGATGAATTCTTATGTCCTTACAAGTTTGTGATAAAGTCCATGCCAACACAAGAAGAGGGGTATTGTTGTTAGATTGTCACTATTAAGCCATTATGGCAATAGCACTTAGGCTTATATACCGCTTCACACTGCTTTACAGCCCTCTCTAAGCGGTTTACAGAGTCGGCATGTTGCCCCACACAATCTGGGTCCTTATTTTACTGACTTCGGAAGGATGCAAGGCTGAGTCGGCCTTGAGCCCGTCAAGGATCGAACTCCTGGCAGTCAGCAGAATTAGCCTGCAATGCTGCATTCTAGCCACTGCACCATCATGGCTCAAATATTTATTTTAAACAAACAAACACACAATTAAATAAATAATAAATATAAATCTAGCTAATCCCCAAAGATTCAAATGATGCCTGCTAGCCTGTTGGTGAAAGCTATCGCAAACAATCTTCATACTGAACACTAGACCAAAATTTCCTTCTCATCCAAAGCAGTTTCTCCCATCCTCCATTCACACACACACCCAGGAACTCATCCCCTTGCTATGCCCTTGCCTTTGCCTAGACTATAAATTCCTCCCTTTGCCTCTGCAGCAGACTTGTTATCCAAGGAGAGAAATGTGACAAGGGAGAACTAAGACTGCAAACAGAAACATTAATCAGCTTGGCTAAACATAGAAACAAATAAAGCCAGCTTTGCATGGGAATGCATGGATAAGATAGTTTGACTAGGCAGGAGAGCAGCCTCATAAAAACACACGGTCAGAGGCACTGCTTGCTTTGTGTAGCTCCCGCTGTGCTTTAGGCACAATACATGCGGGAGGGAGCAAAACCACACTCGCAATTATTGCTCAAATATTACTAAACAAAGCAGAGTAGAACACAACAACTTGCTGAAATGACAGTTACATTATGAAAGCTTCTGTACAACCTATGTACATGCATGTCTGTGTTTCTAAGTGGTATGGGAGTTTAAGCCATTAACAGAAAAAAGAGGCAACACATAAGGCCCCGATGCTCATGTTTGTGGGTTTTGTGGTTTGGGAGTATAAAAGACTTGGCAGAAGGCAATCCCCCCCACATATCCTCCTTTTGCGTAGTGCAACATCGTCCTGTTTCAGTCTCCACCTCAGGGTGTTCAGTTGGGCTTCTCCAGACAAAGACCCAGGGCTGGACTGAGACTTCCTAGGACAGGTGAGTGCTGCTCTCCCACCTGTGGGGGACAAGACAGGTGAGGTCCTTGCATCAGATCACTCTTGCACGTCTCTGTCCAACTGAAGGGACCTCTTCCAGGGGGCTGCAGGCAACATCCAGGTTCCAGCAGAGGATCTGTGGGAGGGTCCCTCAGGCAGGGATGAATAGATCTATTGGGGATCCCTGTGGGAGGGAGAAAGAGAGAGAGAGAGAGACCCATAGAACAGTGTTTCCCAAACTTGACAATTTTAAGGCATGTGGACTTCAACTCCCAGAATTCCACAGCCAGCAATGCTGGCTGTGGAATTCTGGGAGTTGAAGTCCACATGCCTTAAAATTGTCAAGTTTGGGAAACACTGCCATAGAAGAACCTTTTTTTTATTGAAAAGTTTTATAAAAGTTACAATATACACCCCAAAGCCCACCCACCCTAAACCCCCCCTCTCCCTCCCCCACTTCCCAGAGCTGAGAACAGGGTTACAAATATAATAATCATACTCTAACTAACATTAACCAACTATATAAATAACCAAGTCCATAATGCGCTTTAACTCCCCTTTAACACAAATATAAACAAATTAAAAGTAAACATAACAATATAAACAAGTTAATATCCTAATTATTAAACAATACAATATCCAAATTGTTAAACAATACTAATACTAAAAATAATAATGAAACTAATAAAAATTTTACTATAATAAACTATTAATAATAATAATACTCTAAAATTTACTCATAAAGTAAATGGAACTTTTTAGTCCCATATTTATTCTGAATATAATCTATCCATCTTCTCCAGACCGAAATGTATCTTTCCTGTGAGTGATCCTTCAGATAAGCAGAAATCTTGGCCATTTCTGCTAAATTTGACACCTTAAGCATCCATTCTTCTATAGTGGGCAAACAATCCTTCTTCTGATATTGCCCTACCAATAACCTTGCAGCTGTTATCAAATTCAACATCAAGTTAGTTTCTTTAGTATCACAATCTACAATAACACCCAATAAAAATAAGGGTGGAGTAAACTTTATCTTTCTCCTGAAAATCTTTTGAATGTTCCACCAAATCTTAATCCAAAAAGTTTTTATATTTCTACAAGTCCACCAGATATGAAAATAGGTAGCATCCAAGCTACCACATCTCCAACATTTGGGCTGTAAATTAGGATACATACAAGACAACTTTTTAGGATCCAGATGCCATTTATAAAACATTTTGTAAAAATTTTCTCTTAAATTTTGGGCCTGGGTAAATTTTACCCAGAAGAGCCTTTCTAAGGGAGCCCTCCCCCCTACTGATCACACAGCAGTGCAGGATCCACCGTGACCCACTAAGGCTGTGGCATAACCAAGGAGGCAGAAACAGGGTCCAGCTGGTCAAGTGCAAAAATGTGAAACAAATTCTGGGACTTTCAGCTTGGTCTCAGTTTGGATATTGGGTTCCCCTTCCTGAGGGTCTTTTCCAGAGCCAACTCCCCCTCCCACTTCCTCCTCCCTCTGTCCTTCCTCCTCCCTCCCTCTGTTCCTCTGTTCCTCTCTGCAGGGAAGGAAGGAAGACCATGGGGCGATTGACCTTCGTGAGCCTCAGCTTGCTGGTTGTGGCCCTCTCCCTAAGTGGTGAGTTTGAGCAGGGTCTCTCATGCCGTATTCCAAGTGTGCCTTAGCAAGGCCTTGTAAAGTGGTATTAACACTTCACATGATCTTGATTCTAGCCTTCTGTTAATGCAGCCCAGCACTGTGTTGGCTTTTTTGACAGCTGTATGATATGGCTGGCTCATATTTAAGTGATGGTCCACTAGGAATCTGAGGTCCCTCTCACAATTACTACTACTGAGCCAGGTGCCACCTATACCAGGGATTGGCAACCTTGGCTCTTTTATAACTCGTGGACTTCAACTCCCAGAATTCCTAAGCCAGCATAAAAGAGACAAGGTTGTCTACCTCTGACCTATACTATACCTGTGAATTTGGTTTGTCTTGCCTAAATGTAGAACCTGACTTTTCTCTCCACTGAATTTCACTTTGTTAGATGGCACCCAATGTTCAAATCTGATGAGATCCTTCTGCATCTTGAGCCTATCTTCTGGAGCAAGGGTCTTCGGATTTGGCCCTTTTATGACTTGTAGACTTCAACTCCCAGAATTCCTCAGCCAGCCTCCATTTTGTTTGTTAGATTTAAGACAGGGGCCTTCCAACTTGGCCCTTTTATGACTTGTGGACTTCAACTCCCAGAATTCTTCAGCCAACCACGCTGGCTAAGAAATTCTGGGGCTTGAAGTCCGCAAGTCATAAAAGGGCCAAGTTTGAAGACCCCTGTTCTGGAGTGTTGGCTATTCCAGCCAGCTTGGTGTCATCTGCAAATTTGATGAGTTTCCCTTCTATCCCCTGATTTAAATCATTTAGGAATGATACAGCTGAAGGGTAAACTGAATGATAAACCAATCAAGGTGGAGAGGTTCACACAAGACATGCAAATTTCAGGGAAACTAACCAAGGCTCATCCTAACCAAGCTTTGGACAACCTACAAATGCAGCTGCTGTATCTGTAACCAAGTCAGTTTCAGTTAATTGTCATCAAAATGATTGTGACTTAGCAGGTGAAGAAAGTTCTGCAGACCCAGCTGCCTCTTCCTCCTCTTCTCCTGGCCATCTTCTCATCCAGCTTTCTCTCTTCCCACACAGGAGCCAAAGGCTGCTGTTGTCCCAACGATTGGCTCTCCAGGAATGGCTTTTGCTACAAGGTCCACGATCAGCTCAAGACCTGGAAAGATGCAGAGGTTAGAAGTGCTGTGTGCCCATGAATATTCTAGTCCAGGTGGAGAAGACTAGGCTGAGCCTTATGGAGCACCCAAGTACCCTCTGGGTGGGTTGAAGACCCATCCAGGGAGACCTGGATGGGTGCATGAACAGTCACCTTGTGGCGAGATGGTCAGCAAACAAATTTAATAAATAAATAAAAGGAAAAGATCATAATTTTGGAATAATCTGAAATGCAAGTATTATATGTCAAATTCAGAATAGAGCTGGAAGGGACCTTGGAGGTCTTCTAGTCCAACCCCCTGCTCAAGCTGGAGACCCTATGCCAAGGGTCTTCAAACTTGGCCCTTTTATGACTTGTGGACTTCCACTCCCAGAATTCCTCAGCCAGGCACACGTGCCTGGCTGAGGAATTCTGGGAGTGGAAGTCCACAAGTCATAAAAGGGCCAAGTTTGAAGACCCCTGCCCTATGCCTTTCCTGACAAGTGGCTATCCAGTTTCTTCTTAAAAACCTCCAGTAATGAAGCACCCACATCTTCTGGAGGGAAATTACTCCACTGGTTAATTGTCCTCACTATATACCAGTGTAGGCTTTCATGGTCAATATCTGTTGGGTAGGGTTGAGCTTCAAGGTTGAGTGACTATCTCGTAGAGGTCAGATTTCCTGATCTTACACTGGGAACTCTAGCTGTCATCTTCAGGGCATCTTAAGACCATCTTGTCTTTGAAGTAATTGGGATCAGAGAGTTTAACCGATGAATCTAAGTCAGGAACTTTTCAAGTGTTGCAGACTCCGGCAAGGACATCTGTGGGACTCAACAAAGATGGTGGCTAGGACCATATAACCAGATCCCTGCTGTTTTCTCACATGCACAAACACAAACAAGCAAACCGGTTCCTTCTCTGCTGAGAAAGAGCCTTTCTCTTTTGCTGCTCTTCCCAGATGTTCTGCAGGAAACACAAGCCGGGCTGCCACCTGGCCTCCATCCACAGCATGGCAGAGTCAGCTGACCTGGCCGAGTACATCTCCGACTATCTCACAAAGAAGAACAATGTCTGGATCGGACTGAACGATGCACAGAAAGTAGGTCCTTTCTACTGCTTATATTTATCAATCCACTTTACAGTTTTATGAGCTTTTTGAAGGATCGTCCTGTGGAAGGTAGGGACCTCTCTGATAAAAACTCTTACCTTGGACAAAGCCTCTGAAAAATGTCATTTACCCCAGTGTTGTCTCTCCTGCCTCTCACCAACCTTTCCCGCCCAGCTGAAGAACTGACAGCTGTCTTTAAGGCCCCAAAGGGACAGATCCTGCTCTGATCTCCATCTCGGGATCAAGGCCATCTCTCACACGGAACTTCACCTTCCGTCTGCCTTCATGGCCCACTGGGTGGCCTCTAAAGCTTTTTGAAACCCTAGTGCAGGGGTAGGCAACCTTGGCTCTTTTAGGACTTGTGGACTTCAACTCCCAGAATTCCTGAGCCAGCCATGCTGAGGGGAAAGGGAGAGGTTTCCAAGCTGAGCCATGCTGGCTCAGGAATTCTGGAAGTTGAAGTCCACGAGTCACAAAAGAGCCAAGGTTGCCTACCCCTGGACTAGATTCTAGGCCTAGGGTAGGGGTCTTCAAACTTGGCCCTCTTATGACTCATGGACTTCAACTCCCAGAATCCCTGAGGCAGTTGTGCTGAGGGGAAAGGGAGAGGTTTCCAAGCTGAGTTGTGCTGGCTCAGGAATTCTGGGAGTTGAAGTCCACGAGTCACAAAAGAGCCAAGGTTACCTACCCCTGGACTAGATAGATGGAGAAAAAGAGAGAGAGGAAGGGAGTCTGTATGATGTGCCCCTTGAAACCCGCCATCTTTTCTCTCTGTGTCCCTGGGCCCTGTTTACCCAGAGCCTCTTCCTTGGTGAACATTTCATTACAGAAACGCATCTGGGAGTGGACAGACAGATCCTGCACCGACTATTTATCCTGGAAACCAGGAGAGCCAAATAACAAATTGGAAAATGAATTCTGTGTGGAGCTGTGGGCTGATTTAGGTAAGCCAAGGGGGAGGCGAGGGAGGTGAAGATGAGGACCTGTTGATGCATCTTGGAACACTCACCTGTTGATGATCTTTGACAAAGAAAAATAAAAGCCACTTGTTGAACCCTTGGCTCTCACAGGCCAACACAAACACAACACAGTCCGGTACAACCAAGTGAACACAAAATTCCCGTGGGACGCTCTTCTGCGCAAACTAGGAGGTCCAACTGAAGAGCCTCTTTGCAAGCCAATGTACTGGTGCTCATACCCATCATCTAGGCTCCTCAGCACGTGGTTTTTTTTTAAGAAAAAGTCACAATAACAGCCATGATAGTGAAATCAAAGCCCCACCCAATTTTTATCTCTTCATCCAAAGAGATGGATCAAAAACTCAAGTTCTCTGCTTCCCTCTTGTGGCCAAGCAGAGCTTGACAGGCAAGATCTGGTGGCCATGTCCTGACTAGACTAGGTTAGTTATCTCGGTGTCTGTTGGAGGTTCTCAGTCATCCAGGTCACTGTTGTCCCATAGTTGCTTTTTTTCACGAGGCAACTGGACTTCCTTGTTTTTCCTTGAAGACGTTTCGCTTCTCATCCAAGAAGCTTCTTCAGCTCTGACAGCCACTCCCCACCATCCAGTCAGAGCTGAAGAAGCTTCTTGGATGAGAAGCGAAACGTATTCAAGGAAAAACAAGTCCAGTTGCCTCGTGAAAAAAAGCAACTTTGGGCTAATTGTCTAGGTCAGTGGTTCTCAACCTTTTTAATGCCGTGACCCCAACCGGTCGTAAGTCGAGGACTAAACTGGTTGTAAGTCGAGGACTAAATCGGTCATAATTTGAGGACTACCCAACCGGTCGTAAGTCGAGGACTTTCCCTTCCCGGGAGCGCTGCGCATGCGTGGTGCCGCCCTCTGCGCCGGCCGAGGCGTAGCTGGCAAGCGGCAGAGACGGAGCAGGCCGACCACCGGCTGGGCCACCAGCTGGCCCAGCCCAAGGGAGGTAAGGCACCCGCCGGAAAAGGGGAAAAAAATGGCGGACAGCCTTGCTTGGTGACCCCCGTGAAATGGTCGATCGACCCCAAATGGGGTCGCAACCGCTGGTCTAGGTTGCCATCTGCTGAAACCCAAGTCCATTTTAGCATCCTCATGTCCTCCCGCCAATGAGAGAGGAGCCCCTGAAATGAGTCACTTCAAAAAAGGGGGTCAAACTTTCTCTTTGGCTCCCAGGTTACAAGCAGTGGAACGACGAGGCCTGCACCTCCCTGCGTGCTTTCATCTGCCAGTGCAAATTCTAGGGCAAACGGCTCCATTTCCTGCTCCAGAGGGAGGGAAGCACCTGGTGAAGTCTGGAGAAGCAACGAAGCCCCCCTGCCTCCCTAAATCTCTGCTCTGCAGCCCTCCGCTCAACAGATGCCTTCTGTAGCTTGGATTTGACTTTGCTCATTGCCAGAAAACCGAATAAACTCTGCCTTGGCGTAGCTGGTCACCTTTATTTTGGAGACCCAGGAGACGATTGAGGTCTAAAGTGCAGTATTGTGTAGTGGGCTTCAGTGGGAAAGGAGCAGACCAGCATAGTTACAACGTTATTTATTGACTCAAACTAGAACTGGGGAACTGCAGGCAATTGCCTGTAATTTATACTCTGAGCCCACAGGGCCTTAACCAATCACAATACTTGAAAAAGCCCGCCCAAATATGAATGTTCAAAGTTTCCCTCCAAAACAGTTGGAGTTAACAGTCAGGGTCATCTAAAGGTTAGTTTCATTTTAGCTTCACAAGCAGTTGGAGTTAAGTTAGTTTCACTTTAGCAGGGATTAACACAACTTTATATATATATATTCAATACATAACATGCAAGACCCCAGAATGCAAGCCTTGGCCTTAAAGCGGGGGGGGGGGGGTCCTCTTAAGAAGGACCACCCATTGATGCTACGTTGCTTTCTTGCATGAAGATCAGCCTCTTTTCCCAAGCAGGCATCTTTCATAAGGAAAATTGGGTGGCAATAATGTTTTCCTGCTCCCCTATCCAATGCACACCCATCTGCAGATCAGGGAATGTCCCACAAAGCCCCCCAAATGACAGACTTCTGAAAATCAAAAGCAAGTGCCTTTAGGGTGATCCAAACTGGCCCAAAGTATGGTTGTTACAATCACTAGACGCTATTGTTACTAGGTGGAAGCTAACAAGCCTTTGGTCCTGCACAAAGGGGGGGAGGACTGTTGAATAGTAAACTCCCCTGGGACACCTACCTCCCCTAGCCAGGTCACACATCAACCCCAACCACAAAATAAGATATAAAGAAACAATTTAACTTTTTCTGCCTGAGTTGATACACCGTGTTTCCCCAAAAGTAAGACCGGGTCTTACTTTCTTTGGGACTCTGAACTAAGCAATAGGATTTATGTTTGGGGAGGGCTTACTTTTTGCCAGCACTGGCACCACTAGGCCACAAGCGCGTGGGGTTGGGGCAGGGCCTGTGCATGGGGTGGAGAAGCAACGTGGTGGCAAGCCCGTGGTGGTGGACCTGGTACAGTACTGGGGAGGGAGGGCGGGGCGTGTGCCCTTCCTGTGCCAGGCCAGCCTCTGCAGCCCCTTACCTGACCCCCAGCCCCGTGCCGCTTATCCTTCACGATCCGCCACCGCTGTGTGCAGGGAAACAAAAGAAGTTTGTGGGGAGGGGGGAGGTCAATCAATTCCAACTTTGCAAGATCTTTTTTTTTTTCAAGAGAAGTTGGAATTGGGGAAGTCGAGGACTACCTGCAGAAAGAAAGGAAGTTTCCTTGGAATTGAGCTCAGCTCTGGGTGACTTTATGAATACAAAGGTGGTTTTCTGCTAAAAAAGAAAAACAAACAAACAATAAAACTGCCCTTCTACCAATCTCCAGGATGCTTTTCAGCTTCCAAGAGTGATCGACAGCCCTAGGAGTTTGCTGGCAGACTCCCGATCCAACCACTCATAAATGTTCAATGACCATCTCAGAAGTTACCCCTGTAAAAAAGATCATTGTGTTCTGGGAACAGGGGTAATTGGAGAAAAGTCATGCTCTGGGTCACGTGATCCTCATGTGTTGACCCTCTCAAGTCTGAGTCCAGTGTGTGTGGATATAGGGGGTCATCCTTGTCCAGAAGAATGAGAATATCGTGCACAGCAATCTCTGCCTCTGGATCCTTCTTTTGTCTAGAATCAGATTTTGTCATTTGTGCTATTATATACTGTATAATACATAACACTAATCAAACTTATACAGCATATATTTAGGCACTGAAAGGTGTGCCTTAGCAAGAAGACAATGGTCCTTCTTAGTTTGGCTGGGAGGAAGGGACCAGGGAAGGAAGGAGTTAAACATCTTTCAATTTATAACGTACCCTTGGATTCATATCTGGAACACCAGCTGCAAACTACAATGAGAACTGAATTTCTGATTTCTCTTCCTGACCAGCTATGTTTCAAGGTAAAATGAAGCTAGTCGGCTTTGCTCTCCTCCTTGCACTGCGTCCCCCCCAGCCCTGGTACAGCTAACAAGTCCCAGTTGTGAGTTTTGCCCCAGAGGGGGTCTTCTCCCTGCCCTGCTATTCTGTACCAAGGGATGTTTCCCCCCATGAGTTACCACCTGTCACGGATAATGCACGAACTGTGAAAATTGCTTCTGTGGTAAGAATGGTCTTCTAAACATCTCCCTTCTGGCTCCTGGGTAGATATTCGGAGGAGGCACCTCATTGCACCTCAGCTCCACCTGTGAAAGAACTTCGGGAGAGCTGATTCTGCTTCAACCATAGCTGGTCTTCCACAGGTGAGATGACCATCAAAGGTAAGTCGGTGTGTGGTCCTCAAAGGTTCTTCCAATCATTGTGGGCAGGCATTGGCAGGGAGAGATCTATTCTTGGAAGCCTGAGAGAAGTGGTGAGGAATCAGGAACTCCTCGATATCTGATTCCACCAGGAATCTCCACTTAGGGGGGTCTCAAAAATGTCAAAGAGCTACTGCCAGAATTGATGAAGCTTCTTGGATGAGACGGGAAACATCTTCTTCTTCTTCTTCTGGGGGAAAAAACAGTCCAGTTATCTTTTGAAGAAAAAAAGCACCTTTGGGACAACGATGACCTGGATGACTGAGAATCTCACCACAGACAAAAGGCTCAGGCTTGTTCTGTATTGACATCAAGAGCAAGTCAAACATTTTCTTTGATCTCCCTTGAGGATTTATGGACTGTCCAAGTATAACTTGGCTTGTTCATGCTCCCTGTTTTTTGAGAAAGCCGAGCGTCCTTCTAGAACGGAGGAAGAAGAAGGAACTCTGAAGTGGAAGGAATGTAATGGCCGTCCAGCATAGCTTAAGCTCCTTGTTCGTGCTGTCTTTGGTTTCAACAACCAATTCTAGAGCAAGGCTAGGAATTATGTGGCAAAGAGGAAACAGAGGCACCTTGAACTTGGAGTGCAGCCATAATCTTCTCAGTAGCATTTCCCATCAACGGTTATAGAAACATGGGAAATGATGGCAGATAAAGACCTAGCAGTCCATCAAGTTTGCCCTTTAAGAGTTTGGTTGTTTGTTTTCTTTTTAATTTATTTTCTTATTTTTGATTTTTTTTTGGGGGGGGGGGTGAGGAGCATGTGTATATCCCAAGCAGGCTTAAACTCATTTACTAAGGATTGACCCACCGTCGCCCCTGAATGCTGGTTCCAAGCTTCCACTACTCGGTCTGTGAAGTCAAACTTTCTAACATGACTTCTCAACTTCCCTCCTGTCTGTTTGAGATTATGCTCCCATGTTTTTGATTTTTGCTTAATATTGAAAATACGGCCTTCTCTAGAACCTAATTCACATCCTTAATATATTTAAAGAGCCCCGATGGTGCAGTGGTGAGAATGCAATATTACAAGCTATCTCTGCTCACTGCCAGGAGTTCAATCCTGACCGGCTCAAAGTTGACTCGGCCTTCCATCCTTCCGAGGTTGGTTAAAATGAGGACCCAGACTGTTGGAGGCAAAAGGCTGACTCTGTAAACCACCCAGAGAGTGCTGTAAAGCACTGTGAAGCGGTATATAAATCTAAGTGCTGTTATTAAAGGTTTCAGTCATGTCCCACCCTTTCTCTTCTGTCCTCCAGGCTGTCCAATCTCAGAGGAACTCTTATTTTAGACAAGATCATCTCTCAAAGCAGAGGGCAGAGGATCTTTGGAAGGTTGACAAAGAGTGTGTCCTTCTGCAGGCTGATGACCTCTGAAGAGGGGGATCCAAAACCTGCTGTTTCAGGTGAGAGCATCATAGTGTGGCTCCTAAGGATGCCAATGGCTGGAGAGGGCAGAGCTGAAGGACTGTTGCTTCCTCAGAAGACTTGTAGCACTAATTTTGGGTCCTCTTAGCCCATTTGCTCACTCATTTATTAGGAAGTGTCACCTGGTGGGACTCAGGAGGAGAGTCTTTCCTGCCTCAGTCCCCACCCTTTATAACATTACACCCCCCCCCCCGAGATGCTAGATGGGTCACAAGCCGGACAGCTGTAGAAACGCGGTTGTGCCAATATGCTTGGGAACCTGGTTATGGTTCAGACTCTATTAGATGTCTATATTCATGACTTTCACTTCCTGTTTTTCTGTTTCTTAGGTGTAATTTTTGGGTTTCAGATGGGGTTATCTCGTTTTACAGATTTTGGGACTTTGTTTATCAGTTATATTATATGATGGTTTTTCACGGTACGAGCTGTCCAGAATCATAAATGTGAAATAGGCGGTTATACACACTGAACAAATAAAACAAAGTATTCAATATTTGTCTTGGCATTGGGAAATGGTTTAGATATCAAACTTGGAAAGGATTTTCCTCAGAGTTTCTCAGCAAGTCAAAAGCCCCAAGAATGGAGAATTAAGTTCCACTCCCCCAGGTCTCCATCTCCATCTAACTCATCTCACCTGGGGCTAATTCCAATTCAAAATAGTACAAGAAGAATAATAGAGTTGGAAGGGACCTTGGAGGTCTTCTAGTCTAACCCCCTGTTCAAGCAGGAGACCCTATATCATTTCAGATAAACGGTTGTCCAGTCTCTTTTTTAAAGCCTCCCGTGATGGAGCACCCACAACTTCTGAAGGCAAGCTGTTCCATTGGTTGACTGCTGAGAAATTAGTTCTAGATTGCTTCTTAAGAACTAAGAATCTAGATTGCTTTTCTCCTTGGTTAGTTTCCATCATTTCTTGTCTTCTCTTTGGGTGCTTTGGAAAATACTTGGACGCCCTTGTCTTTGTCGGAACTCCAAACATTGCAAGATTGCTATCTTGTCTCCCTAGTCCTTCTTTTCATTAGACTAGAGTCCAGTGTTTCCCAAACTTGACCATTTTAAGGCATGTGGACTTCAACTCCCAGAATTCCACAGCCAGCGTTGCTGGCTGTGGAATTCTGGGAGTTGAAGTCCTCATACCTTAAAATGATCAAGTTTGGGAAACACTGGACTAGACATATCCAGTTCCTGTAACCGTTCGTATATTTTAGCCCCCAGTCCCCTAATCATTCTTGTTGCAGTTGAGAAGGAAGGAAGGAAGGAAGGAAGGAAGGAAGGAAGGAAGGAAGGAAGGAAGGAAGGAAGGAAGGAAGGAAGGAAGGAAGGAAGGAAGGAAATCCTTGAAACATCAACCCATATATATTTGACTCTTAATAAGGTTATCTTTAGGTATAAGAGATTCTTAATATTTCATTCTCCACAGAGACCCCAAATAATGACATTGTCATTTTACCTCTTACATGCGTTCTCCAAAATTCATTACTCCTCTTTGCTTTCTTTTTTTTTTTTATTGAAAATTTTTATAAATTTTTACAAAAAAACAAAATAACAATACAAAAACGAAAAACAACATATACAAAAAACTAAACATGACATAACAAAACTCCCCTTCCCCAACCCCCCCCAAAACACCCACCCCCTTCCCCCCCTGAGCTTCCCAGAGCAGAATATAGGCTTAGTTAAAAAAGAATTTAAAAAGTTATATATACAAAAAAAAAAGAAAATATAACACTAAAATATATGTATATATATATAAAAATAAAAGTTATGAAAAAGCTATGTGATATTTTTTTATATCCAATTTAAATTGTATAAATTTTATCCATTTATCCCAAACAGCAAGAAATTTCTCTTGCGTTTGTTCCTTTAAAAAAGCCGAAATCTTTGCCATTTCCGCCAAGTAAGACACTTTAAGGAACCATTCCTGCATTGTGGGCAAAGATTCCTTCTTCCAGTATTGTCCTACTAACAGCCTTGCGGCTGTAATCAAATTTAACATCAATATAACCTCCTTTGTATCACAATCAGTAACTATGCCTAGCAAAAATAATTGTGGAGTAAATTTTACCCTCCTTCTAAAAATTCTCTGAATATTCCACCATATCTTAATCCAGAAGGCTTTTATCTCTCTGCACGACCATCAAATGTGATAATAGGTGGCATCCAAACAACCACATCTCCAACATTTAGGCTGTAAGTCAGGGTACATGAAAGACATTTTTTGTGGATCAAGGTGCCATCTATAAAACATTTTATAAAAATTCTCCCTTAAATTCTGTGCTTGTGTAAATTTGACATTTCTCACCCAAATAGTTTCCCAGGTATCCAATGGAACTGGTTCACCAAAGTTCTGCGCCCATCTAATCATACAATCTTTAATTAATTCCGTTTCTGAGTCCAATTCAACTAGAACCCCATAAATTCTCTTAATATGAGTTTGTCTTTGATCCTTCACTTGCTTAATAAAATTTTCATCTTCTCTAAGAAAACCCACCTTACAATCCACCTTCCATCTGTCTGCTAATTGCCTGTATTGAAACCAAGAATAAATAATATTTTCTTGTGCTAACTCTTCCCGTGATTTTAACTGCCAATTTTGTCCATCCCATCTGAGTAGCTGTCTGTAGGACACCATATCCATTTTAACACCTCTTTTTATTCCTTTTATCGCATGCCAAGGTATAGCCCATAATGGTACTTTAAAATCACTCTTATAATATTTTCTCCAAATCCTAAGTAAGGAAATTCTTATAATGTGAGATTTGAAAGCCCAATCCACTTTTTTATTGAATATTAAATAGGCATGCCACCCAAAAAGTAAATCCCATCCCTCTAGAGTATCTCAAGATTTGTCAAATTTACCCAGTCACTAATTAGTGTTAAATAGTATAATTTCAAATTCAGTACCTTGAGTCCACCTCTCTCACAGAAGTCTTGCATGATTTTAAACTTAACCCTTGGCTTTTTCCCTGCCCAAATGAATTTATTGACGCCTTTCTGCCATTCACTTAAATTAATCTCATTCTTCAAAATCGGTAACATTTGGAACAAAAAAAGAAACTTGGGTAGAATATTCATTTTTATCACTGCAATTCTTCCCATGAGAGATAATTGCAACTTCTCCCAATTCTTCAAGTCCTTCTGTACACTAGCCCACAACCTTTCATAGTTATTTTTAAATAACTTTGCATTAGAAACAGATAACATCACCCCCAAATATTTTACCTTATTAACAATTTCAAAACCCGTCAAGTTAGCCAGAGTCTGCTTCTCCTGAATAGTCATATTTTTAGGTAGGATTTTAGTCTTATTAACATTAATCTTAAAACCCGAAACCAAACCATAATGATGGATCAACTGTAGTAGCTTTACTGCAGAATGGGTAGGTTGCGACAAAGTAACCACCAAGTCGTCCGCAAAAGCTCTTAACTTGTATTCTTTTTTGTTAACTTCTATTCCTTTAATTTCCTGCGACTCTCGAATTTTGATCAACAGTATTTCCAGTGTTAAAACAAACAACAACAGTGATAATGGACATCCCTGCCTAGTACCTTTCTCTATTGTAAAAACCTCTGACAAACCTCCATTGACAATAAGTTGTGCCATTTGTTTTTGATATATTACCGTAAGAGCTTGTAATATCTTTTCACCAAAGTTCATCTCTTCAATTACTCTTAGCATAAAATGCCAATTCAGTTGATCAAAGGCTTTTTCAGCATCTAAAAATATCAGCCCTGCAGGGACTTGGTTGTTCTTGTCTAAATATTCTAATAAGTTAATGATTTGTCTAACATTGTTTTTCATGTACCTACCAGTTATAAACCCAGATTGGTCTTTATGCACAAGATGATGCACAACCCTCATAAGCCTATTTACTAGGATTTTTACAAATATCTTATAGTCCACATTTAAAAGAGATATAGGTCTATAATTCTTTGGTAAAGTAAGATCTTGATCCTCTTTTGGAATCAAAGATATGAAAGCACTACGCCATGAGGGAGGAATCTCTGAGCCCTGTAAGATATTATTAAAAAGATCACCTAATGGTTGGATCATCTCCTCCATTAAAGCTTTATAATAAACAGCTGTCAGCCCATCCGTACCCGGTGCTTTCCCTGATTTCAATTGTTTAATTGCTATCACAATTTCCTTAGTAATTAAGCCATTAATTTCATGTTTCTGATCCTCTGTCAATTTGGGAAAACTAGCCTCGCTTAAATATTTGTTTATATCTAAGATTTGCACATTAGTAGATTTGTATAATTTTTGATAATAGTCTAAAAAAGATTTCTTGATCAATTCCTTCTGAAAAACTAATTTACCCTTGTAATTTAACTCCTCTTTGCTTTCTTGACATGCATTTTTCTGTTTTGCCAGCTGTTTCTTTTTTTTTTTCCTCTCATGGATGCCCAGAACAAAACTCAAGGGACAGAATTCATCCTTCTGGGTTTGTCCAGCCTTCTCAGTCATGAAATCCACCTGTTCTTGGTGTTTGTTACTGAATATTTGGTCGCTCTGATGAGCAACCTCACGATCATAATTCTGATTCTCCTGGATTCCCGTCTTCACAACCCCATGTACTTCTTCCTCAGCCAGCTCTCCTTCTTGGACATATGCCTTTCCTCTGTGGTGGTACCAAAGATCCTGGTGGACTTCCTACGCCAGCAGTACACCATCTCCTATAACCAATGCCTGGCACAAGCCTTCTTCCTGATTGGCTTTGCGGGATGTGAGCCGGCACTGCTGGCCGTTATGGCCTATGACCGCTACGCTGCCATCTGCCAACCTTTGCACTATGCCCACCGGATGAGGGGCAAGTTGTGTGTCCAGCTGTCTCTGGCCATTTGGCTCTGGGGCTTCCTGAACTCAGCTATCTACGCTGCCCTGGCCTCTAGGTTGGATTTCTGTGGACACCTCCAGGTCCCTCACATGTTTTGTGATGTCCCCCCATTGTTGAAAATTGCTTGCAGTGACATTTCAGTCAACACGTTGGTCAGTTATATCAATAGCACCTTGGTAGGTCTCATCCCTGTTCTGCTCATCGTCCTGTCCTATTTCTACATTTTGTCCTCCATTCTACAGATCCACTCCAAGATCGGCAGGCGCAAAGCCTTCTCCACCTGCGCTTCACACCTTGCTGTAGTAACACTCTTTGTTGGAAATGCCTTTGTGAACTACAACCAGCCCCGTGCTGGCTACTCTCTAGAGGTGGACACCTTGATCTCCACCATGTTTTGCATCGTCACCCCCATGTTGAATCCCTTGATCTACAGCCTCCGCAACAAGGAAGTCAAGGGGGCCCTGAGGAAGCTTCTCAACATCTAGAAGATGGGGCAGGCTTCATTTTGCAATGTGTGGTTGTGTGTGTGTGTGTGTGTGTGTGTTTTTTCTCTAATAAGAATGAGACTGCTACATAGGAACTGGTCAATGAACTTACTCAAGGTAAAACATTTCTTATGAGACAACAATGAAAGATATCATATTAATTCAGCATTCTATGTTCTATCATAACTTGGTGCCTGCAAGCCCCATAACAAGTTGCTTTGTTACTTTCATGAACAACAACTGTATTGTACATCTTGCAAATTTACCAACCCTTGAGAGACAGACTCAAAATTCATCTTATCAGTTTTAAGACACAGCTGAAGATGAAGTTTAGTTGTGGTCTGGATGGACTTTATTCTTTCAAGAAAGAGCCTCTTTTGCAGTAATTCATGTGATCAAGAATAATAATTCAGTGTAATAATTCAGTAATTCGAGTACTCAATAAAAAACTCAATTTCTTTCAGCACTTATGCTCATTTTATTGCCAGTAAAAAAATGTCTATGGAGATTCTGAGGCATCCAGGATAGGGTTGTCCCAAAGATGCTTTTTCAAAAGGCAACTGTTTTTCCTTGAAGACGTTTTGCTTCTCATCCAAGAAGCTTCTTCAGGTTCTGATGGAATGGAGTCACCATTCCATCAGAACTGAAGAAGCTGCTTGGATGTGCAACATCTTCAAGGAAAAACGATGTCTTGTTGCCTTTTGAAAAAGCATCTTTGGGCCAATAAAAGAATATTTGTCCTGTGTAGGAGAAAGCATTAGAAAAATATATCCTTCCCAGTTGGGAAACTCTACTCTGCAGTGAAGAGATCGTGAATCATTTAATCTCCTGCGTGAAAAGATGGGTGTCACCATCTTGCCCATGCATGAGGACGAGAAGACACATCTTTCCAGAAAGAATCGAAATGATTTTGCACACTTCCTTCTCCTCGCTTCAATTCCTTTTCTCTGGGTCAAACTTTTTCTTCTTTTTTTGTTTTCAGCATTCCCATCTGCTGAAATCTAGTACCTGCCACCTTTGATAATGTTGAACTATCAGGCAGGAACAATGAAATACATTTATTATTCATATCCAGTTTGGGGTATGAAAAAGTTAGAACGATCTTGACAAAGTAAAAAACATCGATATGGACAATAACACGTCCAACTGACCACAAGAACCTACTTGATACCACACACACAGCATTTATTTGGTGTGAGAGAACACCATAGAGCAGTGTTTGTCAACTTTGGCAACTTCAAGATGTGTGGACTTCAACTCCCAGACTTCTCCAGCCAGCGACACTATGTTCTATCTCGCAAGGCTGGCTGGAGAATTCTGGGAGTTGAAGTCCACGCATCTTCAAGTTGCCAAGGTTGACAAACACTGCTGTATATAGGGGGAACCATGTTAGAGTTGGTGATAGTCTATAAAGAAACAGCAATTCCAAGTATATGTATTAAAACAGGAAGTATGTTTTAATACACCCCGGAAGAGACTGTGGTCTCACCAGAACCTGCAGGAGGTGCCAATTAACCAGAAGATGAGCATCACAAATGCATGACTTTCTTTCAGCTTTTGCTGGTTAATGTTTTTGGTCTGGTTTGCTTCAGCGATCCTCCAGCTACCCACCCTGCATGGACCTTTTTCCACTCCAGGGGAACATTATTTCCACAAATCCATGTTTCTCCTCTCATTAATCTCGTATTTCCCTTGGAGAGAAAAGGTGGGAGAGACAGATGCCAGGAAAGGAGCCGATAAGGTGGCATGTCGTCTTTGTGACCAGAAAGTCAACTGCACAACACACAACACCCTCTTCCCTCTGAGAGGTATTCAGGGAGGGGCCCTGGTCCCTCTGGGAGAGAAACGCCAAACTCAAGACAAGGGCAGAGCAACACAGTTTATTATCAAGGGAGGGGCACATTCTTCAGAAAGAGGGGGAGAGAAGCAAGTTCAGAGGACAGAGAGGAACCAACTGCTTGACGTTCAGCTGGTCTTTCTGGCAAACACGTTTTTGCACATAGAGAAGATGGAACCGAAAGATCTCAGCTCAGGTTTCCGTTCAATGGGGAGCCCCCCAACTCCATCTTCAGACATGGCTTAAGAGGGTTTCCATTTGCAGAGGAAAGGAAGTTTGCAGTTACAGTTTCTAGCAACCCATTTCACGTGCTCTGAAAGAAAGAAATATGGGTGGTGATCACCTTTGGAGCCCAATATGGCACAGGATTGGACTACTTGCAGACCATCTGCTCTCAAGTACATCTGCCTGCCTCACGTCCATTCATGGGTGGCATCAAGTGCAAACAGCTTCCACACACAAGAATCTAGTCAAGTAACGGTCAAAGTTAAATGGGCACTGGATAAGGGCCAAGAGAATTCAGGGGGAATGGACTTAGACCTCTCATGGTGACACAAAGACTTCAAACAGATGACATCTTTAACTCCTCCTTCCAGCTCCTCTCCCACAAGTGGGGTGCTTGCTGCACCTCCCCTCGTCTAAGCCTTGCCTTCTGGTGGGATCTAGGAAGGGCCCCTTTTCCATGGCTGCCTCCCTGCTCTAGAACAATCTTCCTGCTGACCTAGAGCAGACTCAGCTCTTTCATCAAGGGAGTTAAGACAGGGGTCTTCCCTCAAGCATTTGGGTCTCTGCTTGGGGGATCCTGGGAGCTGAAGGCCACGCTTCTTAAAGTTGCTAATCTTGAAAAACACTGCATTAATCTATTCTATTCAGATTGCTGTTTTGCACATCTGGCTTACTATTTAAAGTGAAATACAGTTGATGTTTTAGATTATAGGTTTATTCTTCTTGTTGTATGTCACTCAGAGTCACCTTGATTGAGCTGGGTGGCTGGGTAAATATAAATGTTTGAAATAAAACCAGGTCTTCACAAAGCTCTCTCCTGTCTTCCCTTCCCTTCCCCTCCCTTTCCATCTTCCCTTCCCCATCTTCCCTTCCCCTCCCTGCCTTCCCTTCCCTGTCTTCCCTTCCCTTCCTGCCTTCCCTTCCCTTCCCCATCTTCCCTTTGCCATCTTCCCTTCCCCATCTTCCCTTCCCTTCCCCATCTTCCCTTCCCTTCACTGCTTTCCTGGAATTACAGACGCAAACTCCATCCACACTAAGGAACGATGGCTTCTCATACTGACCAGATGCAGAAGAGAGACCGGCGCAAGTGTCATCATAAGACACAATTTTGGGTTCACCAGAGCTCCAATTTTTATATATGGATCGTGCCCCATCAGTCCAGCGCCATCCAGTGTTCTGTGCAATGCAGAATAAAGCATGTTAAGGTGGGTGAATGGGGAATGTGGAGAGGGGGGCTGATAAAAATTTTTAAATTCTAATTCTAAATTTAGGTTAAATTAATTTAAAGGGAGAAATCCTGCTAATTAGGTTTTTGTGCAAGCAAGCACCACACAGACGTTATCCTAAGTCATTCTTTTGACTGTTCTAGGCAGAGACCCAGTTAGGTCCTTTGGATGCAAAAGCGGCATATAAGTGTATAAGGGCTATTGCGATTGCAATGCATAGAATCCAAGGTTCCTGGGGCTATAAAGATCCCTGAGCCTTTGAGTCCAGCAGTGTCGCAATTCCGTGCCAGCCTGTATTCCCAACAGCTGAGTCCAGGGAATCTGAGGAGGAGGAGGAAGAGGAGGAGGAAGAGGAGGAAGGGTTTGGAGAGCCATCAGAGTCGGAGGGAGGCTCTGATGAATTACAAGACTCACAATCTGATGACGAGCCTGGCCCCTCCAATTGTGGTCAGGATGAGACACAGCTGTGTGGGGAAGATGAGTCAGACTTTGAAGACTTACAGCTGGAGGTCATTAGAGATGCTCGTAAAGGAAGACAATTAACTAGAGCAGGTCAGAGGGAGTCAATAGGGCAACTCCCAGGGAGGAGGAGAAAGCACTGAGAAGCCACGCCTTGGGGCTGCTTAATAAAAAGGGAAGGTGTGGGCAGTGCTGGTTGCTGAAGGTAACCGTTTGTAAAGAACTTCCAGGGATCATGGTCTGTTTGTTTTGCTGGTAAATTTCTTGTTTAACTCCTGCTCTGTTTGCTTTTTTAACCAATTATCTGTTGGAAAAGTATCCTGTTGTTTTTGTTTTGGAGAAAACTTATCAGGACTGTTTTTGAAATAAAAAGGGGTTGGTTTTCCCAGCCTAGTGTTAAAGAGGGGTTTGTTTTTGTGATGCAATAAGGACGGACATAGACTAGGATAGAACAAGCGGCCTGCTCAGTGTGGGAATCTGGGTTAAAACACAGGTAGTCCTCGCCTTACGATCACAACGGAGCCCAAACTTTCTGTTGCTAAGTGAGAAATTTGTTAAGTGGGTTTTGCCCCATTTTACGACTTTTCTTGCCACATTTGTTGAGTGAATCCCTGCAGATGTTAAATTAGTAACACAGTTGTTAAATGAACCTGGCTTCCCCCATTCACTTTGCTTGTCAGAAGGTCACAAAAGGGGATCACATGACCCCCCCTGGGACACTGCAACCATCATAAATGTGAATTGGTTCTCAAGCATCCAAAGGTAAATCACGTGACCCTGGGGATGCTGCAACCGCTATGGGTGTGAAAAACAGTCACAGGTCATTTTTTTTCAGTGCCCTTGTAACTTTGAACAGTCACTAAATGAACTGTTCTGTCAGGAGCAGCAATGGGACGGTTCTTAGATACCACACCATACAGTCTATCTAGCCTATTAACATGGGACAAGACCAGCATCAGGGGACAGAGATGGAACAAGGTGGCTGGGCTATTCAAGGATGGTGTAAATCACTACTCAGGAAACAGCTGTATGGAAACAGCTGCAGGTGGCTCAGAGCCAGGAGGGCCAAGGACTCACCCCACTGGACCCTTTAAGTTGTCGGAGTCCAATCCAGACCAAATCACCCTCCAGGTTTTCTTTGGTGACATAGGTACCAATGCTTTTGACCTGCTTGTCTTTTGTCAGAGATGCTAAATGGCCTCTCCATCTGAACTGACACTCTTCCTGCAAAGAGAGAAGTACCAAAAATACCTTAGTACCCACAAACCAGGTTGTCAATAGGAAGTCTGCTACAACCCGGGGGGGGGGGGTCTTGCAGTCTGGGCAGACAAGGTCCTCCCAACTAGGTTCCTGCCATTGAAGTTCTCCTAAGAGGGGCTGCAGATGCGAGCATGACTTTCTTGCCCAACAAGAAAAAATAAAGAAAAAAAAATATTGGGGAAGATGCTCTCGGGCTTTGGAGCAAAGTGTGAAAGTGGTGTTAGAAGTGGGATACACACAAAAAAGTGGGACATCCAAACAAGGTTTGAGAGAGAGAGAGAAGAGGGAAGGAGGTGTGTGTTTGTGTGTGGAGATAACAAGACACCCTGAGAGACAAGGGCCCACTTTGAAAGAGCATGGCTTGAACTTTTGAAGGTACAGCAGTCCTCGTTTAACAACCACAACTGGAACCAGCAACTCAGTCATTTAGTGAAGCAGTTGCTAAGTCAACTGCAACTATCATAAATATGAAGATTAGCCATAAAGATACCTTTTCATCACTGTCCTAACTGTGATTGGTTGCTAAGTGAGGAAACCCTGTTAACCCTGTGATTGTTGGCCTTGTTCCCACAACATAGACAATAGCTGAGTTGCACAACTGTTAAATCACACACCATCCAATCCCATTTAAATGTAGCAGGAGGATGTCTTATTCCAGTTTGGCTTCCTTTAACGAATTTCAGTCCGACATTGAAGTGAAGCCAACCCATAAATCCCGTTCAGATTTATTACCAAAGTACTAAATTGAAGGGAGTTCTAGAGAATTACTAAAGTATTTTATTTTACTCTTTATTTTAGGCTTCTATCTTTTTTCTAAGGGAGAGTCATGCAGCAGGTGCTCTTCATTTTAAAAAAATGAGATGAACATTTTGGCGTTATAAAGTTTGGAAAAACTCTGGGCCAGCTTAAGGGAATTTTTCCTGCTCAGGTGAGTTACCTCAGGTGAGTTACCTGGGGGGGGCTTACCTCAGCATCATGAAAGGTGAGCTGATCTTCATAGAACTTGTAACAATACCACTGGCTTCCATCTTTATAGCCAAAGGTGCCAGAAGGACAGACAGTCCGAACACTTGGACCTGCTCAGAAAACAGAATAAAAATGGACTTTTTCCTCATGGACACCAACAAGGTAGAGAAATCCTTGAGCAAAAGAGAAATATGTAATTCCTCAATAAGCATTCCAGAAAAGAAAAAGATTTTCTTCCATGAAGATAAGGTGGAAGGAGTGACTTAAACTCAATGAGTCAATTGGAATTAAGGTGGATTTTTATCGGTTTGAAATGGCTGAGGAATTCTGGATGTTGAAGTCCACAAGGCTTAAAGTTGCCAAGTTTGAAGACCCCTGTCTTGTGCAGTGCTAAAAAGAGTTGGAAGTTAAGGCTTCCCCCCCCCCCCCGCCTTGTAGTCCCTATTGGAGTGCTGGCAACAGCTTACCTGCCCAGGTAAGGCTGCCCAAGAGACAAAAGATGAAGCAAGTGATGAGAAACATCTCCAGACCTGAGGAGAGAAGCAGAAGTTGAGAACAACCCTGAAGGTCCTCCACTGTTGCTTTATAACACAGATGCTACGATATCTCATCAGTCAAATCAAATGATCCTTATACCTTTTTATCCAGGAATTCTTGCAAAGGAGGTTGAAGAATTTCAAACTATGGGCAATTTTTAAAAAAGGGAATGAAGGTTCTGCATCGGATATTTCCCAATTTTGTTGAAACCCCTTTGGATCAGGGCACGGTGCGTACATACATAGCTGCAAGATCCAAAGACTCCCTGAAGCTATTGCCATTGGTACTCGTATGAAAACTTTTAAACAAGAACATTAAAAACTAATCTAAACAAATATAAAGTAAGGAAGGAAAGGAGGAGAGGAGAGGAGAGGAGAGGAGAGGAGAGGAGAGGAGAGGAAAGGAAAGGAAAGTCAAAAACGGGGGAAGGCTAAAGAAAAATAGAACAGAAAAAAAAAGATACAAATAAGTAGCTTCCAATATTCTTCACAGCTGTTATAAATACAAATATGTTGTAATCTCTCTCTCTAGAGTTACATCATGCTACTCTTCTTTCTGTAACAGCTCTCACCTTCAAATAGGGATCCAATCTGAGAAGAATCCTCTAAATCACCAATGGTCCCTTTTCCTGCTTATATACCAGAGTCCACGCCCTGCACGGCAAGATAAGGTGATCCAAAACAGGTGATCCAATTTCTGGAACACGGGTGTCATCCACGTCCTGGGACAGGCAGAGAAACCTGTCACTCAGCTGTTCTCCCAGGCAACCGCAAACTCATTATTAAGAATCCATTGAAGATATTGGATCCTGGACAGATCAGAGATAATGATTGCAATGATTTATGGTAGATTGGAAGCCGTTGTGGAGTTTTTGCGTGTAAAATACAATAGCAGTTTGTAAACAGAGAGCTAACTCTAAAGTTCAGTTTTGTTGTTGGTTCTATAAGTTAATGGGTTGTTGTTGTTGTTGTTTTACAGTAAATAGAGGGTAGGTCAAATTAGCTGGCCAAAGAGGGCTGTAGAATTTTATAAAGTGTAAACCTGTTTTGCAAGGAGGGAAATTATTATTGTTTAAAAATATTTATCAGTATTCAACTAGAGGAGACCATTTATGTGTAGGCTTTTAATTATTATTTGTATGCATATTTTTTTTATCCTGTTCAGTTTTGCTTTGTTTTTGTTCCCTTTTTTTTCTATTAAAGTTTGTATTTTAACTTTGGAGTAAAATTTAAAAAAATAATTAGAAAAAAGGAAATTGCAAAGTCTTGGGTTGTTTTCTGGACTGAATTTAATCCTAGAATTTCCTCCTTTGATATGAACCCTCATAAAATGACAATATAACCTCTCATAGTAACTATGATTATTATCTATAACCTATTACTTGTTGTTTATATGTACGCTGTGAGCTTCTACACTGGGGACAACTTCCTTGTGCGTCCGATCACATTTGGCCAATAAAGAATTCCATTCCATTCTATTCTATAATAATAACAACAATATCCTAGATTGGAGCCAAAACAATCAAGAACAGCCTGTCATAAAATAATAAAACCATAAAATCATCTTGGTATTAATAATCTCTAAATCCAACCAGGATGTGCTTTTTACAGGGTTTTAATTTTTTTATGGTGTTTTCATGACTGTGAATCTCTATCTGTGTGTATATACGTGCGTGCATGCATTCACGTTCTCCTTTATCCCATTAAGGCATCTGGTTGACCATGGTGAGCATATGTGGGCTGCAGGAGTGATTGGTCTGACCTAACACCAGGGTCTTCTTAGGCACCACTTTATAATGCCTTGGTAAGACCACACTGGGAATGTTGCATCCAGTTTTGGTTGCCATGATATAAAAAAGATGTTGAGACTCTGGAAAGAGAGCAGAGAAGAGCAACAAAGATGATTAGGGGGCTGGAGGCTGAAACATATGAAGAACGGTTGCAGGAACAGAGTATGGCCAGTCTAGAGAAAAGAAGGACTAGGGGGTAACATGATAGCATTCTTCCAGTATTTAAGGGGCTGCCACAAAGAGGAGGGGGTCAACTTATTTTCCAAAGGACCAGAAGGCAAGACAAGAAATAATGGATAGAAACTAATCAAGGAGAGAAGCAACCTGGAACCTAGACCAACTCCAGGTTGACTCAGCCTTCCATCCTTCCGAGGTGGGTAAAATGAGGACCCAGATTGTTGGGGGCAAAAGGATGACTCTGTAAACTGCTTAGAGAGGGCTGTAAAGCAGTGGGAAGTCTAAGTGTTGTTGTTATTGCTATACAGGAGCATCTCTCCTATAAATATTACCAGTCTCTATATCCCAAATTGTAGCTACCACATTCTATACTCTGTTTCTATGATCGTTTATACAAAGGGGTTTTAGATTATCTTGACGACATCCTTATCTACACTGAAACCATAGATGAACACATCAAATTACTCCGTGATGTATTGAAAAAACTGTTGAAAGCCAAACTGTATGCAAAACTGTCAAAATATGAATTTCACCAGACACATATCGACTACCTCGGATATCGGATTTTGAATGAGGGAGTAGAAATGGATCCTGTCAAAGCAGTTTTGGAATGGCCGCCCCCCCCATGCACCCGTAAGCAGCTTCAAAGCTTTCTAGGGTTTGCCAACCTTTATTGTCAATTTATTCCTTCTTTTGCAAGGATAGCCATGCCAATCACTGACTTACTCAAAACAGGCAAAGGGGGGGGGGAACCCCATCCTTGTCAACTGTTGCAATGGTCAGTAGAATGCCAGACTCTTTGCAGCAGAACCAATTCTTAAACACAGAGATCCGGGCAACAATTCATCATTCAAGCCATGAGGCTATGGGTGCTGTTCTGTTACAAAAAAATCATAGAGAAGAATTACAATCTTGCGCTTACACTTCCCAGAAATTAACCAAGACCAAGAGGAAGTGGGCAACTTGGGAGAAAGAGGCTTTTGCAGTTTGTTGGGCATTGCTGACATGGCGTCATTTCTTGGAAGGGAGGAAATTACCTTTTGAGGGGTGGACTGATCACAAAAACTTGGAATCCCTCAAAACCCCACGTAAATTATCCCCCAAGCAAATTTGATGGGCTCAATACTTCAACCGTTTTAATTTCACCTTAAAATATATTCCTGGAAGCAAGAACTTTCTGGCGGGTGCCTTGTCCAAAAGCAACAGAGAGGAAGTGATTAACTCCATTATTCCTTTGCCGCAGCCTGCATCCCAAATAACGAACAGATCACACACACAGAGGCCCCCTATGGGTCCTGACGATCGATCATTGAAGGAGCTAAAGGAGAAGTTAGAGACTGATGCCTGGTTCAAAGATAACAGGTCTATATTGACTTTAAGAGGGGGATTAGCTTAGAAAGGCTCTAAGTTATACCTCCCAGAAAGCCTCAGATTCCAGATGTTGCAATGGGGTCATGACATTAAGCAAGCGGGTCACTTTGGAGTTTTAAAAATATTGCATCTAGTGCGGAGGCAATTCTGGTGGCCAAAAATGAAAAAAGACATTGAGAGTTATATAAAAAGTTGTGCCACTTGTGCTACCATGTGGAAGTGTCCTGGAAAAACCCCAGGTTTATTACAGCAAGTGGCCAACGCCTCTCAGCCTTGGGAGGAGATATTCATGGATTTTATAGTAGAATTATATGAGAGTAAGACAAACACTGTGATATGGACTGTGATTGATTTATTTTCCAAACAGGCATATTTCACCACTTGCTTGGGACTTCCTTCTGCCCAGAAACTAACCAAACTGTTTTTGCAGCACATATACCAGATCCATGGTGCCCCAAAGCAGATTATCTCTGACAGAGGGGTGCAGTTTACTGCAAAATTTTGGAGGGAGTTTGTTAAACTGATTGGGTCCCCCCCCCCAGGGGCTTTCATCTGCTTTTCATCCGAATACTAATGGTGCCACTGAAAAAGTTAACACAATGGTGGAACATTATTTCAGACGTTATATGAATTACCAGCATTCAAATTGGGCTGACCTTTTACCTTTTGCAGAGGTAGCTTATAATAATACTGTGCACAGTAGTACTGGTCTCACCCCATGCAAAAGAGTGATGGATAGAGATTTTGTGCCCATGCCTGAGTTTCCACAGGAGCCACCTACTTCCCAGACCTTGAACCGATGGGTGACATTTTTCCAGGGGGTTTGGGTGAACGTGAAGAAAGCATTGGCTAAAGCTACAAAGGTTTACAAGGAACAAGCAAAGGACGTTCCCCTCAAAATCCCTTTTATGTTGGGCAATTACTTTATCTTTCAACAAAATATGTACGGTTAAAATTTCCCAGCAAGAAATTGGGTCCAAAGTTCCTTGGTCCTTTCCCTATTATCAGGATCATAAACCCTGTGTTAGTGGAATTAAAACTTCCGCGATTGTTGGGGAAAGTCCATCCTGTGTTTCATTGCAGTTTGTGTCAGAATCCACCTTAAAACCTATTCCTAAAGAGCCACCTGGTCCAGTAGTGGTAGAGAGAGACACACACACATTATGAGATCAAACGTATTCTGGACTCTAGGTTGCACAAGGGAAAACTACTATATCTTGTCCAGTGGAGAAGTTACCCCCTTTCAGAGGCTACGTGGGTGAAATGTACGAATGTGAAGGCAGACAGGTTAATAAAAAAAAATATGATAAGTACCCTCACAAGCCCTGAGGGGATGGATAACCTGATTTCTGTTTCCCCTGCAGGAGATTCTTTCTTTCTGAAGACTGTCAATTTTAGAATGAGCATGGCTGCAGCCATCTTTCTTTTCCTTCTCATTCCTAGTTGCCACATAGCATGGAGGGAGGAGGATTGCCAGGTATTGCGCTAAACAAAACAGACTTTCTCTCTCGAACTTTCTCTCATGGGAACCAAGTTCATCAGCTGTTCCCGAGACTGCAGGCTGGGTGTTTCATGCAAAACCCACCAAGCTGAGTGGGGAAACTTTGTATTGGGGAATTGTTATGCATCTCTTCAGACTTGGTTTCACTTTTGAAGTGCCAATACTCTGTATCAATAAACATGTTCTTTGAGGAATTTGCAAGCCTCGGAGTTCTGCTTTATTTGTCTCTGTCGATCGAATCCATAACACACAGGTCATAAAGAGGCCCTAGTGCAGGGGTAGGCAACCTTCTCTCTTTTATGACTCTTGGACTTCAACTCCCAGAATTCCTGAGCCAGCCATGCTGAAGGGAAAGGGAGAAATTTCCAAGCTGAGCCATGCTGGCTCAGGAATTCTGGGAGTTGAAGTCCACGAGTCATGAAGGGGCCATAGTCCCCCCATGCTGGCTCAGGAATTCTGGGAGTTGAAGTCCACGAGTCATAAAAGAGCCAAGGTTGCCTACCCCTGCTCTATGCTGTTGGGTTTCATTAAGTTCTTGCCTTGCTAAACTCAGAGATCTTAGTTCTCATAGCTGAATTAAAATTTGTTCATCTTCAGGGAATACTTATTACCAATTAGCTGGTTAGTGTCGAGAACACTTAATTGGCAAAGTTGATCAGGAAGTTTTCCAGCTCTGCTCCTTCGTCTGAGACTTCTGTTTGCACCTTGAAAGAGCCCCTCCAGGGAGGCTGCTAATGGGGTGGAATTAGCAGGGGGGAGATGGCATTGTCAACCAGGTTGTTTTTCTGGAAGGATTAAACAAGGTACAAAGGGAGTTGTTAACTTTCTTGTCACAATCACAGACCTCAGCTCTCCTGGGCTTCTTGAGTTCTTCCGTGGGGAGATGCCATCCACTTCATTGTTCTCTTATTTGAACATGAAGTTTCTTTAAAAAAGAAGGGAAAAACTTAGGCGTTCTCCTGACCAACTTCTTCACCTGGCCCCAAGGTGTGTTTGTTTTCTAAGATCAGCTTGAACATACAAAGTTGCAGTTCATTTGCTTTTTGATGTTTGACCATGTAGGTTATTTTAAGAGTTGGCCTTTGGAACCAAAAGCATTTCTTTCTTTCCTTTCTCTTTCTTTCTTTCTTTCTTTCTTTCTTTCTTTCTTTCTTTCTTTCTTTCTTTCTTTCTTTCTTTCTTTCTTTCTTCCTTCCTTCCTTCCTTCCTTCCTTCCTTTCCTCTCTCCCTCCCTCCCTCCCTCCCTCTGGCACAACATGGCTTCCCTTCCATCTGCCCATTTTTTTTATAAGCAGAGATATTTTAGTGAAGATTGATGGGCAAAACTTCGGGAAAATTGTAAGGCAACAAGACTTCTATTGCTCATTGTTGGAAGAATGTGACGATAGCCACAACGGAAGTGTGCTTGTTAAAGTTGGTGGAGCTGGCTGGGATGGCAAAACTGTCAGTTCTGATTAGAGAAAAGAGACGGGCCAAATTTAATACCAGTTAGACCAATGGTTCTCAACCTTTTTAATGCCGCGACCCCAACCGGTCGTAAGTCGAGGACTACTCAACCGGTCGTAAGTCGAGGACTAGTCAACCAGTCGTAAGTCGAGGACTTTCCCTGCCCGGGAGCGCCACGCATGTGTGGTGCTGCCCCCTGCGCCAGCCGAGGCGTAGCTGTCAAGCAGAGACGGCACAGGCCAATCACTGGCTGGGCCACCGGCTGGCCCATCCCAAGGGAGGTAAGGCACCCGCCAGGCCCCACATGCACCAGCAACCCTCCCTGTACCCGCTGGCCTCCCACCTCCCACCCCTGGCCCTCTTTTACTTACATTGTTAGTAGTTGCTCAGCAGGGAGAGGTGGAAACTTCCAGACAGCTCGCCTTCGCTGCAGACAACTTGCAGCCCCGTTTGCAGAATGGGATTTTGGTGGGCTCAGCAGGGCAGAGACAGCCTGGACAATTCCTATTGGCTTTGGAAAGCCCATAGAATTAGACTCTATTCAAGAGAGTCTATTCTGTTGGCTTTCAAAAGCCAACAGAATAAAAGGGAGTAGCACATCTAAGGAAAAGGGGAAAAAATGGCGGACTGCGTTGTTTGGCGACCCCCATGAAATGGTCGTTTGACCCCAAATGGGGTCCCCACCCACAGGTTGAGAACCGCTGAGTTAGACACTCCATCTGAAGTTTGTTCAGGAAACTGAAATCATGAGATACGGACCTCTCATTTCCACCGAGCTACAAATATCCTCCTACAGATAGCTGAAGTGGCAGATACTGTAAAATCCCACCAATGGCCAGAAAGGGCTACACAAAAAGACAGGCCTGAGGCACCAATCGTGGCAGCACAAAACAAGGCACTGAGCACCAGACCCACAGACGCAGGGGTCTCCCACACCAGACAGGATCCAGGGTGCAGACTATGTAAGGGGGCTTCAGACAATCCAACACAGAGCGGCAAGGTGCAAAATGCAGGCAGGAATAGCACATCCAAGCAGAACCAAGAAACATCTGCACAGAGCATAGGCTAGACCTCCTAAATCCAGATGGGAGATCCTATAAAAGGTCATGGAGAACAAGTTGAGATCCTGTGATGCAGACAGAGAAGCAGGGACTGGCCAGTCAAGCAGACATTGCAGTAGTAGAGAAGACCAAAACACAACGATGGTGATAGATGCAGTGGTGCCAGGTGGCAGCAACACCAGGGAGAAGCTGGAGAAGCAGTAGAGCAGTGGTTCTCAACCTTTCTAATGCCACGACCCCATAATATAGTTCCCCATGTTGTGGTGACCCCCAACCACTTATACATCACCGGGTGCCAGGGGCGTGGCCAAAGAAAAGGGGGAAAAATGGCGGACAGCCTTGTTTGGCGACCCCTGTGAAATGGTCGTTCGACCCCAAATGGGGTCCCGACCCACAGGTTGAGAACCACTGCAGTAGAGCCTGGAGAAGGAACTGGAGAGGATGTGGAAAGTCAAGGCCAAAGTGGATCCGGTGTGGTAAAGGCACTCAGGGCTGTGATTATTCCAGAAGAGGTTCTCGAACAGATCCCAGGAACGACATCCGAACTCTCTGTCCAGAACAGTGCAGTGCCAGGAACAACTAAGATCCTGACCAGAACCCTCAAATTCCCAGGAGAGGACCCAGGATTGACAGACTCCCCATCAATGGGAGGATTAAAAAAAAAAACATGGAACCCTGTGCATCATTTTGCAGGGTTTATTTTATATATATACGTGGTAGAACAGGACCGCTTGACACAGCAAATTCAGCATGGCCAATTCGCTGTAGGACAACTCACTGGGGAGAAGTTCAACAACAATTCAATTTAAACCGGTGTCATCCACCTTGACTGCAAATTAGCCACAACTTATAATAGAAATTACATGGTATAAAGATGGGAAGCTGCAATCTTATAATTAAAAATGGCAGATGATAGTCATGAGGAGTTCTCCCAGCTCTGCTGTTTACCTTCAGTTAATGTTTCCCCGCTGAAGGGTTGAGAAAAATTGATATCTCAATTAGAGGCCTTCTGTAAAATCGTATCACTTTGGTTCCTTCCACTTGGAAGCGGCTTTGATTCTCAGAAAAAACGCTTCTTCGCACTTTGAGATGTGGTTTTTTAAAAAGATCAAGATGGATGTCGACGCTGCAAATACTGTATATTCTTGCTTTGACAATATGCAGAACTATCTGGTATTTTTAGAGTTAACACAGCAGAAGAAGTTAAAGGGAAAGAGAGAGGAAGGAAACCTTTGACCTTCATACTAATTGGATAACGTGATATATGTCAGCTGATTTGGGGGAGGGAACATGCTGATAATTTAATTGCTCACGGGAAGAGAATTTAGATCTTGGCATATCTCCGTTATGCCTGTGCCGACATTTTGTAACAATAAATGACTTTTAGGAAAATGTGCCTGGAAGTTCTTTGAAGTGTTTCATTAGTCGGAACCATAACAATGGAGGCTTCAAACACACAGCTAGGGGTTAAGGCACCAAGTGAGAGACTATGAATTCAAGTCCTGCCATAGCCACAAAAGCCACCTGAGTGACTTTGGCCCAATCATCAGGAGACGGTGAGTTCTGGTCCCGCCTTAGGCATGAAAGCCAACTGGGTGACTTTGGGCCAATCACCAGGAGATGGTGAATTCTGGTCCCGCCTTAGGCATGAAAGCCAACTGGGTGACTTTGGGCCAATTACCAGGAGATGGGGAGTTCTAGTCCCGCCTTGACAGTTTGCTTATGCTTTGCCACTCGCTCAGATTCGGTGCCACTTTTTATCCTATCGAGCAAATTTATTTATTTTTATTTTATTAAGAAAATTTATACAGCTGCCCAACTGACCAACAACAACTCCAAGTGGTTTACAGAAATAAAACCTCACCACAAACCCAATAAACTCTAACCCACCCCACCCCGGCATGAATAATTTACCAATAAGATAAATAAGTTTGGAGACATTGTACCCAAAATAAGGATTACAGTAATCAATATTTTTTTAAAAAAAATAATCCTTGCTAATTGTTCCATAACATGGATTCTAGGTCCGGCAGTCCACACGGGTTGAAAGCCAGGCTGTAGCAGGTGTCATCCTTCCACTGAACAAGGATGTATTTAACTATCAGGTCTAAAAAGCAGCAGAGTGTTATCGGATTGGCCAAAAAAACCTCATAAATGGTAATTTTTCTGTTGGTTTCTGAATTGCCTCCCCAGCTGGTAGTAGAGTAGAGTAGAGTAGAGTAGAGTGTAGGGTAGGGTAGAGTGTAGGGTAGAGGAGAAGGTAGGGTAGAGTAGAGTAAAGTATAGGATAGAGTGTAGTGTAGTGTAGTGTAGTGTAGAGTAGAGTAGAGTAGAGTAGAGTGAAGTGTAGGGTAGGGTAGGGTAGAACAGAACTGGAAGGGACCTTGGAGGTCTTCTAGTCCAGCCCCTGCTCAAGCAGGAGAACCTATACCATCTCAGACAAGTGGCTGTCCAGTCCTTAATAATACTTAATACTTGCTGTCTCAGTGGAGGGAATGCCAAGGTGGAGCAGGCGAATCCTTCCTTGATGTTTGCTCACTTTTTGGAAAAAAAGAAAAGCAAAAACCAACTTTCTTGGGTTCAGCACTTTCAGAAGGAAAATATACAATCAGGAGGTCAAAGGCCAAACTCTCCAGATGATGCTTGGAGGATCACAAGGGACCTTCTGGTGTCCTTTGCTGGGCACCTCAGAGTCTAAGGCAGGGGTGTCCAACCTTGTCAAGTTTTAAGACTTGTGGACTTCAACTCCCAGAATTCCCCAGCCAGCTATGCTGTAATAAAGCTACAGCTCAAGAGGGCTGCCCACTGGACACGGCAGAAGCCCAGTTCACATCCATGGGAGGAACTCCAAGTTGGTTAGTCCTGCTCCCTCTAGCTGTCTTTCAGGTTGCAGCCCAGGACCACATGTGGACCACCCGTTTCTCTACAAAGCCGTGGCTCCTCACACTGGTACCACTCCTGTTCGTTGAAATCTGGGAAGAAGAAGGCAATTTCCTTGCTGGCTGAGGCTGCAGAGTCTGGGGAGGAAGAAGAGAACAACAGAATAATAAAATAACAGTGTGGGAAGGGACCTTGGAGGTCTTCTAGTCCAACCCCCTGCTCAGGCAGGAAGCCTCAGACAAATGGCTGTCCAATCTCCATACAGGGCAGTGTTTCTCAACCTTGACAATTTTAAGGCATGTGGACTTCAACTCCCAGAATTCCACAGCCAGCAATGCTGGCTGTGGAATTCTGGGAATTGAAGTCCACGTGCCTTAAAATTGTCAAGGTTGAGAAACACTGATATAGGGTCTCCTGCTAGAGCAGGGGGTTGGACTAGAAGACCTCCAAGACCCCTTCCAGCTCTATCCTGATTGATCTTAAAAACCTCCAGTGATGGAGCACCCACAACTTCTGGAGGCAGGCCGTTCCACTGGTCAATTGTTCTCACTGTCAGGAAATCTATTCCTTGTTAAATGAATCCACCTTGCTGGTCAGAAGGTCAGAAAAGCTGATCACATGACACACACACACACACACACACACACACACACACACACACACCCGGGACACCACAACAGTCCTAAGTACAAGCCAGTTGCCAAGTGTCTGAAATTTGACCCTGGAGATGCTGCAATGGTTGTTCAGTGTTGAAATGCGGTTGTAAGTCACTTTCTCAGTGCTTTTGTCACTTCCAACGGTCGCTAAACGAATGGCTGTTAAGTCAAGGACCACCTTTAATGTGAATTCCTTCAGATCAGGTTTTTTTTTCAACCTTGTCAACTGGAAGGTGGACTTCAACTCCCAGAATTCCCCAGCCAGATTCCTTCCTGTATGTAAATCAGGGGTTCTCAACCTTGGCAACTTTAAGACTTGTGGACTTCAATTCCCAGAATTCCTCAGCCAGCAAAGCTGGCTGAGGAATTCTGGGAATTGAAGTCCACAAGTCTTAAAGTTGCCAAGGTTGAGAACCCCTGAATTGTAAATGAAGACTCAATCATCCAGGCCAGAAGTATCTCAGGTTTAAATGTTGCTTTTCATTTTGGGGAGAAACACACACACACACACACACACACACACACACACACACACACACACACACTGCATAGTCTGCATGGCAAGAGTTGGTTCCTTCCAACAACTCTGACTACCCAAAATTTGCGTTTTGACCTGAAGACGTTTTCCTTCGATGAGTAACGAAACGTCTCGGTTTTAATAAAAGTTTGGTCCACTTGCCAAGATTTAACCTTTTGAGGTCCCTCCCCATAGTTGGGACCCCCATCCTGGCTTTTACCAGTCGGGCTGAACCGAAGAACCCCAATACCTTCATTTTTTTACCCCAATCCTCACTTCTTATTCTGGAATAAAAGAATTCCAGGATCTTGCACCGTTCTCTCCTTTTAAGGGGAGGCGCATGTCAGCACGCTCTCTTGGTCTGCCACTGTGCATCAGTCTGCACTAATCCTGCCCGAACTGCTGGGGGAGCACTGAATTTCCCAAATATTCTGGAGAAGACATGCAGGCACCCAAGACCACCCGAACTGGCCCAACGGAATCAATTCTGATTGTTCTCAGGGCAGATTAGATTGGGCACATGGGATCCAGTCCGTGGTGCTGACTTTCCACATCCAAAGTGGATGGGTGACCACCCATCTGGGAACCCCCCCAGTTTTGAGCGCTTGTTTCATGGTCCCTGAAATGTCCCAGGCAGCTCTGGAGGCCTTCAGGAACCGCCCGTGGAGGCCAGGCGGATCCAGCTCTGGGGCTCACCTGAGCCGTGGACGGTGTTCCGGGTGTCGGTGAGGCCCAAAGTCCCACGGATGGACCCTGGGGCGGTGTGGAGGGCACGGTACACCTTGGTGGGACCCATCAGGGATCTCCAGCGAGAGACGGCTTCCTCGTGAGCCAGGATATAAACCCTCAGAGGGCCGCTGAAAGGGCAAGGAGAGAGAAATCCGTGGGACACCCTGGTCTCTGCCTATTTCTGGATCCTTCTCCTTCCTTCCCTCTTCTCCTTTCCTTCTGCTCTCTCCCTTCTTTCTTTCCTTCCTTCCATCCCCCTCCCCCTTCCTTCTTTCCCTCCTCCCTCCTTCTTTCCCCTTCCTTTCTATCTCCCCTTTTCTTTTTTCCTTCCTCTTCCGTTCCTTCCATCTTCCTTGCTTTCTTTACCTGCCTCTTCCTTCCTCCCATCTTCCTTGCTTTCCTTCCTCTTCCTTCCTTCCCTTTCCTTCCATCTTCCTTTCCTTCCTTCCTTCCTCCCTCCCTCCCTCTCTCCCTCAGAATCTAGAATCCTTTCGATCTAGAACGATACCCACATTTCCCCACCTGGAATATCAACAGAGAAAGCACTTAGATCTAGCCCTGGACAGCTCCTCAAGCCTCACACAGTATGAAACTGGTCATCTGCTGCCTCCTGGTGGCCAATGCAACTCAACACAACACAACACAACGCACATCTTTGTCATTAGGTGCCACATCAACTCAGTGACCACACAGAACGTGGTTTTTGGAAGGTCTGTCCCATATCTGGTCTTTCAGATCTTCCAACCATGCTAACCGAGTACACACACACACACACACACACACACACACACACACACCCCACACCTGCTGGTCATCCTCTTCTCATCTTTTCATCCACCCTTCCCAGCATCACAGCCTTCTCTGGACAGCTGGGTTTTTGTAAGTGTCCAAATTAAGATCATTTTAATATATACATACACAAACACGCATGTGCACACAGGCACAAATATCTTGATAAAGGAGGCAACACAACAGCTAGTAAAACTTTTCCTAGAATTTAAAATATTTTTCTCACAAAAAAAACCTAAGCATTAAAAAAGGTGCATCTCAAAAAACCTCCATTATACACATTTTTTTTGTCTTTATACACACACACACACACACACACACGCATGCGCACACACATATATAAAAAGTTTCCCATCTTTCCCATCTGGAATCTGTTGGGAATTTTTGCTATTTCTCAACTGGACATAAACATGGATGGGAAGGCTTATTTTTTTCCTGAATTTTGGCTACCGCCCTTTCCACAGGGTGGAGAATTTAGTTCTTGTTCCAACAGCATAGTAAATTTTTATGGCTGCAGGTCTCTCCGCCTCTTTTGCATCGGAACAGTGAGACAGAATATTCACAGGGGTCTCCAGGAGGGCAAAAAAGTCAAGATGGTGGCTGCGACTAAGGGATTGGAGTCCTGCCCTTTTCCCCTACTTTTTCAGCATTCCCCTGGCTACTTTCACCCTCCTCTAGAACAAAACTATGAAGGTCTTGGGGTGAAGGTAGCCGGGAGAACCGGGGGTCTCAGCAGGCCTTTGAAGGGGAACAGGAAGGGGGTCTTCTCGCTGCCAGCTTCGGACCTACCTGGACATGAACTCCACCAGCCTCCGGTAGAAAAAACAGCCTGAAGGAAGAAGAACAACAACTTGTGAGGAACAAGGCGGGTTCTGCTCTACCAGCTCTCCACCCTGCTGGACCCCAAGGCAAGTGAGGACCCACAGCGATCGAGACAGAGGGCTGTTGTGTTGCAAAGTGGATTGGATCCATCATGGGGGGGGGCAACACAACCGGCTTGGTCTGCAGGTCCCCATCCCAACTTTCATGTAGAATTGAGCAACCAAGATGGCCAAGACTTACAAGAACATTGTGGACCTCAACTTTGATCCCTGCCACAGGAAGCCCTCTGACCAACAGAAAGGAACTGCAGGAAGGATCTAAGCCTGGAGTCCCATCCTTTTCCTCAGCCCAGCTGTGTAAATGTCTGCTCACACCTGGATCAGGATCACCCAGGACGACACTCAGCTCCATACCCATAAGGGACACGGACAGGGTCAACACTAGGAGGCCCAGATTTTGATCTCTAGAAAGCTGGAAATTATTTCTTCAAGGTCCCAAAATGGGGGTTCAGGGTTTCTAGGTTCCCTCTACTGAACCCCTCTGGACTCCTTTTATCTGGATATGAAAATCTTTGGGGCACAGGAAGCCTCAGACCATCGAAACTCTGAACTGGACCAAACCTGAGGGCCATCTAGCCCAGCTTCTGCGGTATCCAGAAGCCAACTGGGATGCCTTGGGGAGGATCCCAAGACGGGACTGGAGGACAAGAGATCCTTCCTCAGCATTTCCCAGTAACCAGGATTTTAGCTCTGTTGCATCTGGAAGCCTTCACCACAACCTGAGTGCTCTTGGTAGAACCTCTGGCTGTCCTCTCTGCTCCAGAGGAGGTCCTTTGTCCGGACAATCAAGAATTTGTGGCTCAGAATGGTTTCGTGCACTGCCTAGGAGAAGACCGAGAAGAACGTTAAGGGGAAGGCCATGAAAAGTCCAAAGAGGCCTCACACCATCTGGCCATTGGCCAGAGGGCTTTTGGTGAGGGACCTTGTCCCTTAGCTTTGGAAAAAGCTGACCTCTGTTGTTGTTCCTCTAAAGGGCAACTGGACTTTGCTTTTTCTTTGAAGACATTTCGCTTCTCTTCCAAGAAGCTTCTTCAGTTCTTCAGAAGCTTGGTTGAGAAGCAAAATGACTTCAAAGAAAAAAAAAATCAAGGAAGTCCAGTTACCTTTTGGGAAAAAAAAACACACCTTTGGGACAATCATGATCTGGATGGTTGAGAACCTCCATAGACAACCTCAACAGATTTTTGAAACCATGATCAACTTCAGACTGAAGACTCCAAAACATTTTTGAACTGAGCCATCACTCATTTGCTCAGGATTGGTCCAAACCTGGAGAAAACCATACCTCTCCACAACCAATTTGCCCTGGAAGTCTGCTAGAACTCACACTAAATGACTGTTATCCCAATTTTTATAGAGAAATAATCCAGACACAAAATATACAAAATACCCAAGTTGGGGATGCAACGGAGACCCCAATCAGTGCCAGCCAACTGCAAAAGAAGGGGGTCTTGGGCAGTGGTGGGATTCAGCCAGTTCGCACCAGTTTGTTGCTCAGGCCCAGAATGGACTTCCGGAAGCGGCATCCACACAGAGAACCGGTTATTCACCTATTTGAATCCCACCCCTGGTCTTGGGTCGACAGAAAGTCTAAGCTTCCCCATTTATAAAGATCGATGGTGACCCACGGTCTACTCAATGCCCCACTGGAAAGTCAGATCCTGACCTAGACCTCCTTCTTCAAAGGGAAGGGAGGGAAGAAACCCTATTGTGGGGCGCAAGGTCACAAATACGCTGGAGAGCAGGGTGTGGGTGAGGGTCTCTCCAAAGTGAGGTGCCACCAGTGATGCTATTTGGGGGGAACCTAGAAACCCAGCATAGCAGGCAGTTCTTGGTGCAACCCAAACAAATCTTCATGGCCTCAGAACATGGGGAGATAGACACGTCAACTGCAATTCACAGAGGACAGGATCCCCCTTGACCAGTGGGTTTCTGGTGCTGACCCCCATCACCCACTCCAAGTCTTAGTCCACAATAAATACTAAGACGGGGCAGGGGGCAGCTTTCCATCTGTGGCTTGCCCCCACCCTAGAAACATCCGGTTGACCACCACAGCTGGATCAAGGCCGACGGATGTCCTAAGCAGAAGCCAACCATGGAGTTGTTTGGTCCTTCTGTGGCTTAGCTGGCCAAGACGTGAAGACTCCCTAAGTGCTGAAAACTGGAGTGTGGCAGTGAAAGAGTTAAAGGGGCGATTGGCCGCCTCCTCTTTCCTTGGGGTCCTGCACCCCTCATCCATCCTGGGTTGTTGACCACCCTCAGGAGCGAGGCTGACATCAACCACAGCTCTTAGTCTACTCTAGGGAATCACTTCCCTCCCAAGGTGGTGGGGGCTCCACGGCTGGAGGTCTTCAAAAGCAGACGTGACATGGAATAAGGATGGTACAAGGCAGGGGTTCCCCAACCCCCAGTCCGTGGACCGGCAACAGCCCGTGGCATGCCAGCAACCGGTCCGCACAAACAAGCAAAGCCAAATCTGTGGGATGCAGGCAGCCCACAAAACCACACACCCTCCGGTCCACGGAAAACCCTCTCTCTACAGAACTGGCCCCTGGTGCCCAAAAGGTTGGGGGGGGGCTCTGGTAGAAGGTCTCCCGCCTTGAGCAGGGGTTGGACTAGAAGACCTCAGAGGTCCCTCCAGCCTTAGGAGTCTGTGTTCTAGGTCCTGTTCCACCTTGGTCGCTTTAAGATGGGCGGACTTCAACTCCCAGAATTCCACCCATCTTAAAGAGGTCAAGGTGGAAAAACCCTGCTCTAGAAGGCGGGGGGGGGGTATTTTTCTCCCTGCTCCTTGCACCCCCCCCCGAGACCTCTGGTTGACCCGCCCCCCAGTCCAAGAGGGTGCCAAGCCACCCTGGGCAGGCACTTTGCACTCACCTCCAGCACGAGTGGGTGGGCCACCGCGTCGGGCTTGACGATGGCCAGGGTCAGCTGCAGTGCCCGCCGCAGCTCCGGCCAGGAGGGCCGCATCTTGACCGGGGTTGGGGGGGACTGTGGGGGGGTCTGCGAGGCGGGGGGGGAGTCTCGCTCTGCCCGCCGCTCCGCTGCAAGCCAGAGGGAGGAAACGCGCCGCTGCAAGGAGACACGCACGTGGGGAACCAGCACGGCCCCTTCCGGGGCTGGGACGCCTTTGCACGCTTTTGCGCCTCCCCCCTCCCTCTCTCCCCGTTGTGTAGGGAAGCCGGAAGCGAGGTTGGAATGCCTTTGCACACTTTTGCACGCCTGTTGCACGCTTGGAACTCACTGCCCCCCGTGCACAACGGTTTTGCAAGCGGAAGCCGGAAGCGAGAGGCAACTGACCCCGTTGCACACTTGCCAGCTCTCTCCCGCTTGTGCGAGGGAAAGGGAACGCCTTTTGCACGCTTCTTCCTCCCTGCCCCGGTTTGCAAAGAGAAGCAGGAAGCGAGAGGCAGCAACTGTGTCACGTTTGCACACTTGGCGTCTCCCTCCGGCTTGCGAAGAAGCCGTTGCACACTTTTGCACGCCAGTTTCCACTCTTGCCGCCTCAGTCCCCCATCCCCTTCCCCCCCGGTTTGCAAAGGGAAGCAGGAAGCGAGAGGCAGCAACTGTGCCGCCTTTGCACACTTGGCGTCTCCCTGCGGCTTGCGAGGGGAAGCAGGAAGACTGCACACTTTTGCACTTCCTCCCTGCCCCGCTTTGCAAAGGGAAGCGAGAGGCGGCACCCGGGACACTTTTGCCCCCCCTGCCCGGCTTTGCAGGGGACGCGGGCGGACTTTCGCACGCCCCCCACCCCCGCCGGCCTGGCCCGGGGAAAGCAGGCAGCGAAGGGGCGGCGAGCGGGCGGCCGCGCTCTCCCGAGCCCCGCGGGGCCGCGCGCCGCATCCGGCCGGTCGCCCGGCAGCCGAGCCGGCGTCGCCTGGGCGGGGACGGGGGCGGCAGGGGAGCGGCGGGAGAGGCCCGCGGGCGCAGGCTTGGCGAGGCGGGCGGAGGCTGCCCGGCCCTCCCAGCCCCTCCGCGCGCTCCCTGGCCAGCCGGCGCATGGCCAAGCCGGGGGGTCCGCAGGGGGAGCCCCCCCTGGCCGGCCTGGACCAGGACAAGTACGACGCGGAGGAGAACGTGAAGATCATCTGCCTGGGCGACAGCGCCGTGGGCAAGTCCAAGTGAGTCGGTCCCCGCCCCCGCCCACCCCCCGGGGCAGAGGAGGGTGTCCTCCGCCGCCCCCCGCCCCACGTTGCGCAACCGCCCCAACCGCAGCCCGGAGCCACGGGCTGGGGTCGCTGCTCCCAGCGGGGACCCCCCCCCGCTCTGCAGTCCGGGATGGGGGCGGGCGAGGGGTGGGAGAGTCCATTTGGACCCGAGATCGCCGCCCCCCCCCCAGAAGCCCCGGTTGGTCGACTGGGTAATCGGAGTAGATAGGGCTCAGCTGGCCCATTGGGGGGGGGCTGAAGTCCCAGGTGCTATGAGGGCACGTGGGGGGGCCTCGCCCTCCACCCCAAGGTGCCCCCTTCCCCCCCACCCCCGCGGGGGACCCGACAGCTGCGCCAGATGCTCCAGGTGATCTCATACAGGTGTTTAGGTGACGCTGGCTGGGGAATTCTGGGAGTTGAAGTCCGTCCATCTCTCGGCTGATTGATGCGGGTCTGGTTGAGTTGCACAAGAAGGCTGACACAACTTCCCCACCCATTTCTTTGGGGAAAGTGTGCGGCAGCCCTCACACCCTCAGCTGAGATGGCTTTCAACTTTGCTCCTCGGTGCTCCCTCAGTTTGGATGGAGCTTTTTTGGGTAGACTTTCATTTACCCAAACTAGGAAACTGTTATGTGCTCCTGGCTACTTTCCTTCGTGACCAGAGGCGAGCTCGCCTGACCAATAACCAGCCAAGACACAGTGAAGGCCTTTTGTTTCGTTTATTGCAATAAGCGGGGAAAGAAGCTTTCAAAGCTTGGTTCTCTCCAAAGTTTTAACCCAAAATAATTCCTTCTTTTATTCATCCCTATCACTGGCCGCTACAGCCCTCCTCTTTCCCCATTGCCTGAGGTAGTATGAGGTTACACTCTTTCCGTCCGCCTATACACATTTCCTGATAACATACTAAATCATATTCACTTATACAATAAGAATAGGAAAAATTATTTTCTTATGGTTATTTTTAAACTCAATATATTTATGTCTCCACAATAAGCTCTTTTCCTGCTTTTCTATTCATTGTGTCTCTCTTCTTATCTTATTTGGCATGGTTTCCTGCTTTCCTATACTTCCTGGCTAACCATTTCCTTGAAAAAAAACAACTATTTTATTACTTCCCTCTTCCTTTCTCAGACCCAGCTATTTTTGCCTATATGGTTATCTTACTTCCTTAATGTTATCTCTTTCTGACTCTCACCATCTGTATTTCTGACTGAAGATTTATCATATTAATGTATATTTATCAGTAACCATCATCGGGGATGCTACTCGCCCTGATGATGTTCCCTAGTGGGGTCACGAAAGGTCTGCAAGAAAGCAGCCAAGCTGCAGAGCACCAAGAAGCCCTTGTGGCAACAGATATTCTCCTTTTTGGCTTCTGTGTTTTTGTGGATCTTGGCAACACACTCAACAAGGTCCAGTGGGACTGGGTGGTTGTTGGGACGCAAGGCGAGGTTTAAGAAGCCGTGGGAAGCCGGCCGTCGCATGAAGCCATCCTGGGGCTGAATGGCCGGGCAGAGCATTCTGCTCTTGCATGTAAATTTGCTGATGGGGCTTCCGTGTGGGGTCAACTTCCTTCTGGGAGGTGGACTTCCATGGACATTGGTGGCGCCAGGGAAGGGACGATGGACGGGAGCCTGAAGCAGCCACTCGGTCAGCGGCTGACCCAATGTCTGCCAGGTGCAGGAAACCAGGAGCTGGGAGGGAGCTCCATGTGGACTTATTCCATGGTACCTCTGGGTGGTCCTCGAATTTATGTCGCTAAGTGAGACATTTGCCCCTTTTACGACCTTTCTTGCTGCAGTTGCTAAGTGAATCACTGCAGTTGTTAAATTAGTCGCACGGTTGTTAAGTGAGTCTGGCTTCCCCCCTTAACTTCGCTGGTCGGGATCACGTGACCCCCCCACACACAGGGCGCTGCGGCTGTCATGAATATGAAACAGTTGCCAAATGTCCAAATTTTGATCCCCTGACCGTCGGGATTTTGCAGTGGCCGTAAGTGTGAAAAATGGCCATAACTCGTTTTTTCCCGGTGCCGTTGTAACTTCAAACGGTCACTAAACGAATTTTTGTAAATCGAGGACTGCCTGTATTCACAAGAATCTGATCCACTAATGGTCAAGCAAATTGGGGCCGGATGGGAGGCCATGGGCTTCGCGGGGGAGGGGGGCTGGACTTAGCTCTCTTTTGGCGGTGTAGAGACTCCAGACTGATGATGCATTAGACTCCCCCCCCCTCGGCCTCTGCCTGGCCCTCTCCCACAGAACCTGGGCTGGGCTGGGGGGGTCCTTGGACCCAGTTTCCTCAACGGGGCGATTTCCCTCTTTTTCCAGATTGATGGAACGCTTCCTCATGGAGGGCTTGTATCCTTTGACACTCAGCAACCCGGGGAAAATTGTAAGGCCTCCTGCCTTGATCAGTGGGTTAGACTAGAAGACCCCGAGGAGGTCCCTTCTCGCCCTGTGATTCTGTCTTCTAAAACCCTCCTAAACGTGCTCCAGGGCTGGGTGGGCGGGCTGGTGGGCGGAAGCACTGGGGGCTCTGCGTTGGTGGGCTTGCCTCTTCTAAGGAGCCTCTACGTAGCTTCCTCCTTCCCAAAGACTGTCCTGGTTCGCCGCCTCCTTTCCTTGACCCGGCCCACAGCAAGCCACAGCAGCTCTCGACCTTCGCCCTGACCCTCTACAAGCACACGGCCACCGTGGACGGCAAGATGGTCCTTGTGGGTAAGGGCCTGGTGGACGCCGTGGTGGAGTCCTGTCCCTGGTCTCATTGGGTGGGACCCCGTTCTGATGAACACGCCTGTCCGGGGCTTGGAAGTTGCCCACTGAGGGCCAAGCGTGGGAGGAGTGGAGAAGCTGCCTGGCTGGAAGGCCCTCCAGTTGGGTCTTAGCAGGAGATCCAGGATTTATCTCTCTCTTCAGCTCACACAGCCCACCCGCATTCAGAAGACCTCCCCAGTTGCAGGAGGCAGAATGAATGGATCTTCTGACTTAAGAGAAGTCTTTTTCAACTTTGCCATTGGAAGATGGGTGGGCTTCCACTCCCAGAATTCCCCTGGCTGGCTGGGGAACCCTGGGAGTTGAAGCCCACCCGTCTTCAAGGTGCCGAGGTTGAGAAATACCGACCTGGAGAGATTGTGTGAGTTAGGCGGGTCCTTTGTGAGCTGTGGAATTCCTGCTTTCCAGACTTCTGGGACACGGCTGGCCAGGAGCGTTTCCAGAGCATGCACCCGTCCTACTATCACAAGGCCCATGCTTGCATCATGGTAAGGAACTGGCGCATGGGGCTTGGGGCGGCAGTTGTCCAGGGGAAAGCCAGTGGGTTCTTCCTAGCAGGCAAAATGCTTGAGTGAGGGATCTCTGCAGGAGGATATAGAGCCTTCTTCTGACTCCGGGGCTCAGTTGTCCTCGCCGTTTTCCTGATGCTGGTGGGACACAAAGGAGCTTCCCCCTTGCCCCCCCTTCCCAAATAGTTCCCCCGCCAGAGTCCATGGCAGGCTGGCACTGAAGCAAGCAAAAGCGGGAGTGAGATGGCAGATAGGAGACTTGCTCTTTTGTACCTACGTAAGGATTCCAGACTAATTCCCCACCTGACTCCTCCAGTCTCTGACCATGTGGAGCGAGCCTACCAATGTCGAGAAGATGCTTCTTCCTGGGACTCTTTGCACCCGTCATCTCTCTCCTGCCAGGATCTGAGATATTGGTTGTGGCCTGATTAGCGCATGATCAGCCGCCCTCTTCCTCTTCCCTCCCCCTTCCAGGTGTTTGACGTCCAGAGGAAGTTGACCTACAAGAACCTGGCCAACTGGTATAAGGAGCTGCGTGAATTCCGGCCCCAGATACCCTGCATCGTGGTGGCCAACAAAATTGATGGTGGGCCTCTCCTTTTCACCTCCGGGGAGTCCTCCAGGGGGGAGACCCAATTCAGCCTCTTCTTGGACAAGGGGGAATCTTTTGGCCTTCAGTTTCTTAAGTCCACACAACACCTGTTGTCCCAAGACAGTTTAGCCAGTTGTGGAGAACTTCACAAGGAAACTTCCTGTTGAACGTCCTGCATCAGCCACAAGCCTTAAAGTTGCCAAGGTCGAGGGCCCCTGAGATAGGGTCTCCTGCCTGAGCAGGGGGCAAAACTAGAAGACCTCCAAGGTCCCTTCCAGCTCTGTTATTCTGGTAATTAACCAGTGGAACCACCTGCCTCCAGAAGTTGTGGGTGCTCCAATGCCGAACGTTTTTAAGAAGAGACGCGACGAGTCACTTGTCTGAAGTGGTGTAGGGTCTCCTGCTTGAGCAGAGGGTTGGACTAGAAGACCTCCAAGGTCCCTCCCAGCTGTGTTGCCCTGTAAGAACCTGCCCTGTTTGGCCAGTCAATTCCTTGGCGCTTGCTGCAAACTCCCCAGTTGGGTTATTTCAGTCCCCGAATTGAGTCTGTAGGTGCTCGGTTGTCCATGTCCTGTGGGTCTCCTTCTGAGTGGGAGAGGTCCGGCCCCTCCTGGAAGGCCTCTGAGGTCAGCCGATTCTCTCCCGTGTTTCTAGCCGACCTGAAGGCGACCCAGAAGAGCTTCAACTTTGCCAAGAAGCTCAACCTGCCTCTCTACTTCGTGTCTGCAGCAGACGGCACCAACGTGGTGAAGGTGAGGGGGGAGGAAGGCTTGGGTTCCCGGTCAAGGCGGGGCACCGGCCGGACAGGGGAGGTGGGTACGGAGGAGCCCAGCCTCGTTCCCCCCTCCCCAACTGACCCTCTGCCTTCCCCCTCCGCAGCTCTTCACTGATGCCATCAAGCTGGCCGTGGCCTACAAGCAGAACTCGGAGGACTTCATGGACGAAGTCCTAAAGGAGCTGGAGGTAAGAGCAGGGGGTGGGTGCGAGGGGCAGCTGCTGTGGGCTGGGGGCTCCAAGGGGAGTTCGGTCTTTGGCAGGGGGGCAGTCAGGGAGCCTCTGGGTGCAGGAGGGGCAGTTTCGGGTGGCAGCCACCATGACACGAAGCTGCAGTTGGGTCCTTTGTGAGCCTGGCAGCCAAGAGGCTTCTTCTCCCTGACCCGGTTTTCTCAGATGGGGAAGCCCCTCCCTTCCTGCCCTCCCTCTTTCCTCCCTTCCTCCCTCCGTCCCTGCCTCCCTCTTTCTTTCCCTCCTCCCTCCCTCTTTCCTCCCTCCCTCTCTGCCACCCTCTTTCTTTCTTTCCCTCCTTTCCTGCCTGCCTCCCTCCCTCCTTCCTCTCTACCTCTCTCTCCCTGTCTCCTCCTTTCCTTTCTTTCTGTCCTTCCCTTCCTCCCCTTTTCTTCCCTCCTTCCCCCTTTCTTCTCTTCCTCCTTTTTTCTTACTCTTCCTTTCCCTCTCCTTTCTTCCTTCTTCGTTCCTTCCCTCCTTTCCTTCCTTCTCCTCCCTCCCTTCCCTCTTTCTTTTCTTCCTTCCATCCATCCATCCTACCTGGAAGCCCTCTCCTGCCACAATCCAGCTGCTGAAGCATCCCTCGGGCTGCTGTCCTGGAAGAGCCCAGGTGTGGAACACCTGCGTTGATTCTCTCTCTTCTCTCCCTGCAGAACTTTGATCTGGAGACGAAGGAGGAGGACTCCCCCACAGAGGAGAGCAGCCCAGGGAAGGCTTCCTGGGTCCACCTGAGCCCTGGGAACGAGTAACTGGGCTGCCACTTGCACAGAGACCACCGGCAGCTCCACCTGCTCGGTGGAGGCAGCCAGGGCCCTCTGAGGGGAGGCACCCAGGTGGAGATGGGCTCTGCTGCCCTGGGAGAAGGCGGCGGGGAGACCAAGATTCCCCCCCCCCAGAGAACAGGGGCTGATGGGGCTGATAGACCTTGGGCTTCTCCATGCCCCGTTTCGCTTCTAGAGGACCCTTAGCCTATGTTGTTGTTGTTGTTGAAAAAATTCCACCCGGAGAAATAAATTTTGGAAGTCTTGAAAGCCAGACTTGAGCCTGGTAGCTTCTCTGAGAGAGCAAAGAGGATCCGATTGTGTGGCACCTTCAGGTTGTGTTGCATTCTGAGCGAGCCACGAATGCTCTGGGTTGGGCCTTTGGCGCCAGCTGGTTATGAAGGCGGCAGCTGTCTTGGAGGAACGCAAGCAGAGCAGGCCAGGCTGATGGGAAAGGTGTGTGAAACAGTCACAGTCCGGTGTGATGTCTTTATGGAGACCGTGATCCCCTCCTGCCCGTTTCCCAGACTAGGTGAGGCCAAGATCAGACCAGTTTGGCTCCCAGGAAGATTTGTCTAGGCCAGGGGTAGGCAACCTGGGCTCTTTTATGACTCGTGGACTTCAACTCCCAGAATTCCTGAGCCAGCATGAGGGAACTATGGCCCCCTCATGACTCGGGGACTTCAACTCCCAGAATTCCTGAGGCAGCCTGGCTCAGCTTGGAAACCTCTCCCTTTCCCCTCATCACAGCTGGCTCAGGAATTCTGGGAGTTGAAGTCCACCAGTCATAAAGAGGCCATAGTTCCCCCATGCTGGCTCAGGAATTCTGGGAGTTGAAGTCCACGAGTCATGAAGGGGGCCATAGTTTCCACCCATGCTGGCTCAGGAATTCTGGGAGTTGAAGTCCACCAGTCATAAAAGAGCCCGGGTTGCCTAACCCAGTCTACACAACAGATATTATGTACCCACAACTCTTTGAATACAGGTAGCCCTTGACAACCACAGTTGAGCCCAAAATTTATGTTGCTGAGGGTGAAATTTGTTATGTGAGGTTTGCCCCATTTTATGTTCTTTCTTGCCACTGTTGTTAAATGAATCATTGGAGTTAAGTTAGTAACCCGGTTACTTGCCACATTGACTGCTTGTCAGAAGATTGCAAAAAAGTGATCATGTGATCTCAAGACACTGCAACCATCATCAATGTGAACCAGCTGCCAAGCGTCAAGAGTTTTGATCACATGACCATGGGGATACTTCCGCAGTCATAAGCCTGAAAAACGGTCATAATTCACAATGGGCTTTGATGTGTCCCATCAGCCCTGTTTGCTCACATGATTAGATCACGGAGAGCTCGGGGTTACGTGGATCCCTTCAGACAACTGATCCATTTAACAGAGTTAGTTTGGATCACTCACTTTGAGGTGAGGACTACTTCTGCCAATCCACAGTGTTGACCAAATTATTTACCATAAAGTTAAGTTCCAAGCCAAAGTCCTAGAGAGGGTCTCTACAAGCAAGTCTTCTCTAGGAATTCTGACACGATCTTGTCCTCCAATGGCTGGTCCCCACTTCTCAGGGTTTCACAGAGACCGACCATGAGCTGGAGAAAAACGCCGTGGTCAGCCGTAATGTGCTAAAAGGGCCACTGTTTCACCGTTTTATTTGTGATGACTGATAATTGGGAAATTCGTGAGCCTAGCAGGCATCAACAAGAAAGGATGAACAAAGGGTTCTTCACCTTTTCGGAATGGGGGACATTGTGTGGCAGTAAAGGACCCACAACAGTAACTAGCATGGGTAGGTGGTCTTTATTGAGAAGACACCCTTAAGGTGAAGCTTCCCCACCCGCAGCCCAAGCAACGGCTGGCCCTAGAGATGGAGAAGATTGATTTTTACTGGCCCTCCATTGGTAGGTGTGTGCCATCTTCAGATCCAGCAGTTTCACCCTTTCAGTTTGGTCAAGCTGACCAAGTCTGCCTTTGGGTAAAGATCTGAAGGGGAGAAGACCACCTCTGATCTTCACCCAAAGGCAGACTTGGTCAGCTTGACCAAAGTGAAAGAACGGACCCTTGGCAAGGGTGAAGCTGCTGGATCTGAAGACAGCACACTTACCAATGAAGTGCCAGGAAGCAGGTGGCTGCAGGGAAAGGTGCCAGCTGTGGGGTTGACCACGGGGTTTATTACACAGCCCACCAACAGTTGGCTGTGGATGCTGGGCACAAGCACTGCCAACTCTTGATGCTCTTCAGTGGTCTTCAGATGGTTGTTAATGGCCAGATGGAATAGTGGAAGTGACCGCAGAGAACTGGACCAACTCAATGGGGTCCACTTGGCCGATCCTTCTATGCTTCAGAGCTGAGCTGGGAAGTTGTACAAGATGTGTGGGACCTTCCATCACAACAGAGCCATCAGGCAAGGTGAGGACACCTTCATGATGCTGCACTGCTGTTGGGTGGCCTAAACATGCGTGGAGCTCTACGCCTGCAATGCTGACCCAACAGCTGGTGATCAAGTGTGCAGAATTGAACAACCTTTACAGCTGACTTGGCAACAAATGTTCCCCCATTAAGATCGGTTTAGAGACATAAAATACAGGAAGTGCAACAGGGAAAATGAAAGAGCCTGGGACCAGAACAGATATTTTTTGCAAACACATTGGATATTTACATTTTGTAAACAATAAGAAACATACTGCCAAACATCTGTCACAAAGAAGAACTGGGGAGGGGGGAGGGAAACAGGATTTAAACTTATATGTATATAGATTCCAATTCTTAGCCTTTGTAGAAGTTGATCTTCCTGTTAAGGGTTGCTTGTATGCACAACAAGATATTTACGCAACCCAATACTTTGCCTTCTCCCGACGGTGCTGAGGTCCCAGGGAAAGGTTAAACGCAGGGGCCTCGGGGCATCCGTTTTCGTGCAGCCTGCAGGTCTTGCCCTGCCTGTGGTCACCACACTCCTGCTTCAGAAGCACCAGGCATGGATAGAGCTCAGCTCACCATCCTGAGCTGTGTAAAATCGCCCCAAAGGCGCAGCGCACGTGAGATTAGCAGAGCCCTGAACAAAACTTTCTGGTTTTGACAAGTGTGCTGCCACAGCTCCCCGAAGGATGTCGCTGGCATTGCCGAGAGTTCACAACTTTGGTGGCACACCTGTGGGCCAAAGGCATGCTGGGTCTCTTTCCAGTTCACCCGGACTCGTCATCCTCGGCTAGGCTGTCCAACTCGTCCTCAACAGAAGCCAGATCCGCGTCCTTGATGAGTTTCAGGTTTGACAAATCGGGCCAGAACCACATGGCGTTTTTCTCCTTCTTAATGATGTGCAAGAACTTCTTAATCACCTTCAAGAACCTAAACACGGTGCTGTCCGTGTGGGAGATTTCAATGAGGGGCAGGATTTCCTGCCCCTTGTGAAGCTGGGATGGGGTCTGGGGGAAGTGAGGTTGGCTTGAAGTTTTGGGTTGAGGCGTAGTTTCTGGTGAGGACTGAGATGTGGGCGGTGAAGTTGCAGGTGGCAGATGGAGTGTTGTGGATTCAAGGGGAACTTTAGGTTCCATTTTCGGTTCTGTTTGAAGGGAAACTTGGGGCTCAGACTGAGTTGGGGCTTCTGTTGTATGAAACACGATGACCACCTGAGCTGGCGTTTCAGATTCTGGTTCAGACGTGGTTTGATGAGAAGATTGGGGCTCAGACTGAGTTGGGGCTTCCAATGTAGGTTGAGGTACGATGACCACATGAGCTGTGGTTTCAGATTCTGGTTCAGACGTGGTCTCAGACCGAGTTGGGGCTTCCGATGTAGATTGATTTATAGTCACAGGCTGAGTTGCAGCTTCACGTTCTGGTTCAGTCTGAGGAGATGGTTGAGGTGGAGTTATGGATGTAGGCTGAGGTGTAGTTGTAGACGGATGGGGAGCTTCATGTTCTGGTTTTGTTTCAGGAGAAGGTTGGGATTCAGTTTGAGATGTGGAGCCAACCTCTGTTGGAACTTCAAGCTTGGGAAGAGGTTGGGTTTTGTGTTCAGGTGAGGTTTGGAGAGCAGATTGAGTTATAGATGCAAGTGGAGATGTGCCTTCAGTCTTCAATGGAGATGAAGGCTGAGGTGGAGACTTGGATACTGGCTCAGATACGATTTCGATGTCAAGCAGAGGAATGGTGTTGGGTTGAGCTGTGGATTCAGACAGGACTTTGGCCTGAGGGGAAGATGAAGGTGACAGGACCTGGGATGTTGTCTGACTTGAGATTTCAGCCTTGGGTGAAGCTGGAGATGAAGGTTGGGGTGAGGTTTGCAGTGCAGATTGAATTATAGATGCAAGTAGAGATATGCCTTCAGTCTTCGATGGAGATGGAGGCTGAGGTGGAGACTTGGATGCTGGCTCAGATACGATTTCGATTTCAAGCAGAGGAATGGTGTTGGGTTGAGCTGTGGATTCAGGCAGGACTTTGGCATGAGGGGAAGATGAAGGTGACAGGACCTGGGATGTTGTGTGACTTGGTGACAGGACCTGGGATGTTGTCTGACTTGGGATTTCAGTCTTGGGTGAACTTGGAGATGAAGGTTGAGGTGAGGTTTGGAGAGCGGATTGAATTATAGATGCAAGTGGAGATGTGCCTTCAGTCTTCAGTGGAGATGGAGGCTGAGGTGGAGACTTGGATACTGGCTCAGATACGATTTCGATTTCAACCAGAGGAATGGTGTTGGGTTGAGCTGTGGATTCAGGCAGGACTTTGGCATGAGGGGAAGATGAAGGTGACAGGACCTGGAATGTTGTGTGACTTGGTGACAGGACCTGGGATGTTGTGTGACTTGGTGACAGGACCTGGGATGTTGTCTGACTTGGGATTTCAGCCTTGGATGAAGTTGGAGATGAAGGTTGGGGTGAGGTTTGCAGTGCAGATTGAATTATAGATGCAAGCAGAGATGTGACTTTCGCCTTTGGTGGAGATGGAGGCTGAGGTGGAGACTTGGATACTGGCTCAGATACGATTTCAATTTCAAGCAGAGGGGTGGCCGTGGGTTGGATTGTGGATTCAGGCAGGACTTTGGCATGAGGGGAAGATGAAGGTGACGGGACATGGGATGTTGTGGGAGTTGGAGAAGAAGATGAAGGCTTAGCATGAGGTGAAGATGGAGCCCGGGCGGGTTGAAATACGACTTCAATTTCTAATGTGTTTGGAGATTCGGCATGAAGTTGGGTTGTGGGCTTAGACGGGACGCCAGAGGTGGACTGGGACATAGGTTGAGCTTTAGGCTGACGTAGAGGCTGTGCCGTGGTTGGAGGCCAGAAAAAAACCAAAGGATTTTTTGGGGAAGTGGTTTGCAACACAGTGGGGGGTCCAGCTGGGGTTTTGGTGGCTTCGGGAGTTGCAGGGGAGCTGATTGGGGAAGAGGTTGGGTTAGGAGTCGACTCACTCTGGACTGGAACCTTGATGGTGGGGATGGGCATGGGTGTGGGCGGGGGCTGAGGCATCGGGCCCGCCAACTGCTTTATCCACGGGTAGAAGTGTTGGGTATCGGTATAGACCCCCGGCTTGTGTGCTTTCCCACAGCCCTGGCCCCAGCTGGTGATTCCAATGATCCAGAACGGTTGAGAGTCTTCTTCCTGGCACATGAGGGGGCCGCCACTGTCTCCCTGGAAGAAAAACACAGGGAGAAGGACGGCTGAAGGTCGGCAGGATACCACTAAAGGAGGAAGCATAGGGAGAGCCTGATGGTTACGTCTCCCTGGGCCTCGAGGGGATGAAAGATGCAGCCTTTGGATGGACATGAAAGAGGTAGTTCATAATACAAGTAGTCCTTGACTTACAACAGTTCCCTTAGTGGCCGTTCAAAGTTACAACGGCACTGAAAAAGGCGACTTAGGACCCTTTTTCACATTTATGACCGTGGTAGCCTCCCCGTGGTCACGTGATCAAAATTCAGACACTGGGCAGCTGATTCATATTTGTGACGGTCGCAGTGTCCTGGGGTCACGTGAGCCCCTCTTGCGACAAGGAAAGTCGACAGGGAAGCTGGGTTCACTTAACAACTGACTAGCTTAACAACCGCAGCGATTCACTTAGCAACTGTGGCTAGAAAGGTTGCAAAATGGGGCAAAACTCGCTTAGGAAAACTCTCGCTGTACAACATAAATTCTGGGCTCTCCTGTGGTCGTAAATCAAGAGCTCCCTGTAGGTGGAAACTCTGCTGGTGCTGAAGGAAGGCAACAAGAACCTACGGCTGATTCCAAAGCACTGGATTTCAAGGTCCACCAAGTGGGTCTCCCACGGGGGGGGGGTTTACCTGGCAGATATCAGCTCCTCCTTCCTCATAACCTGCACAGAGGGTGTGTTCCTCAATGGCCCCGTTGTACCAGCTGCTGCTGTTGCACTGAGCCACAGAGAAGCGGTTGACCCTCACTTCGTGCATGGTGTCGGACACTTCCCTGGCTGCTGAAAGGAAAGGCAGCTGCTTAGGAGACTTAGCAGGCCTATTTTCCCCTTCCTCCCAGGGTGCTTTGGGGCTCTCAGCCAAGGGCCTTCTGGGTGAGAGCAGTAGGGCCTTGGTGGTGACCTCTGGGAAGTTTAAGACCCAGCATTCCCCCAGGCTGTCCTAAGTAGCCCTGAAGGGGGGGAAGGGAGAGGAGAAGAAAGGAAAGGAGAAGAATGGAGAGGAGAGGAGGGGGAGGAGAGGGGAGGGAGGGAGGGAGGGAGGGAGGAAGGGAGGGGAGAGAGAAGAGAGGAGAGGAGAGGAGAGGGGGAAGATGGGAGGAGAGGAGGGGAGAGGAGAGAGGAGAGGAGAGGAGAAAAGGAGAGGGGAGGGGGAGGAGAGGGGGAAGATAGGAGGAGAGGAGAGGAGAAGAGAAGAGAAGAGAAGAGAAGAGAAGAGAAGAGAAGAGAAGAGAAGAGAAGAGAAGCAGGACTGGCAGAACTCAAAGTGGTTCCAAGCATTAAACGTTGATGGTGCTGGTGATGCTGGTGACAGTTATGATGATGCAAAAGAAGCTGGCAAACTGCAAATAAATAAATTGCATTACACTTGTTTTCAGGAATGCATTTTTGCTCCACAAAGATCTACTAGGCCCGCAGCATCCGGGGGAGCAAGGAAGGGTGTCTGTGTGTGAGGAGGGGCTGAGTGTGCCTTCTGTCCACACTCACTGTCACGGCTATTTAGGCACCCAGGAAGTCTCCCATGGCAGCCACGTTGTGGGTGTAGACAACACTCCCTCTCAAATTTCTAGAGGAGTTTCAGATGGGGCTTCTAAGGCACGGGGAGGTGGCCGGGCCCTGGGGGTGCAGAGGGCGGCCTTGGGATCTCACCCGTTTTTCCTAGGATGCCCCAGCCGCTGATGTAGCAGTGGTTTAGGAGAGAGATGGTGACGGTCATGTCAGGCAAGCAAGCCGGTTGGATGTAGTTGCTGCACTTCACGGGCTGGTCCAGCTCCATCAGAGCAATGTCACTGGTTTCCGTGGTCCTCTGGTAGTCCTCGTGGATCACTATTCGCTTGATGTAGCGCACATGGACCTCGGAGCCCAGCGAAGAAAGCTTCCATGCGCCGATCACTGCACGCCAGTGCGGAAGGTCCCTGGCGAGAGAGACAGTGGGTCAGCCCTTTCCACCACACCAACAGCCATGAAGGTGCTTTTCCAAAAGGCAACTGGACTTCCTTGTTTTTCCCTGAAGATGTTTTGCTTCTCATCCAAGAAGCTTCTTCAGTCCTGACTGAATGGTGGAGAATTCCTTGCGGTAGTCATCTGGTTGTTAGTGCTCTCTCTGAGAGCCGTTGAGGCCACCTGGAGGTTTATCAGTGCCCTAAGCATCACCTGAATGGTGCAAATGAGTGTGGGACCCCCTTGATGACTGCAAGAGGACTGCAAGAAATATAAATCCTTCCATCCTCCATCATTCAGTCAGAACTGAAGAAGCTTCTTGGATGAGAAGTGAAGCACCTTCAAGGAAAAACAAGAAAGTCCAGTTGCCTTTGGCAAAAGCACCTGTGGGACAAAGAGGAGCTGGAGGACTGAATCTCCATAGACAACCAACAACTTTGGCCAGTGGTGGGATTCCAAACAGGTGAACAACCAGTTCTCTGTGTGGATGCTGCTTCCGGAAGTCCATTCTGGGCCTGGGCAACAAAAAATTAGCTCCCGGTTTTGCCAAACTGGTGCAAACTGGCTGAATCCCACCAGCTGGCTAGGTGACTTTGGGCCAATCACCAGGAGACTGAGAATTTTAGTGCCTCCTTACACCTTAGGCATGAAAAGCAGTTGGGTGACTTCAAGCCAATTACCAGGGGACTGTGAGTTCTAGTCCCACCTTAGCCATGAAATCCAACTGGGTGATTCTGAGCCAATCACTGTCTCTTAAGGTGTCCCCCAAGATAAGACCCACACCCACCATTTTGGCTTTCCAAGAAGGCCTGAAGACCCAGCTCTGCCAACTGGCATAGGGCCCCAACAGGGACCTGTCATTCTGGAGGTGATTAATGAACCGAGATAAGATCCCACCTCTTCACTGGGGGTGTCTGACTCCCTCCTTTCCCGTCTTTGTCGATTGTTCCCCCCTCTTCTCTGTGGCAGCCCCTCAAACTCTAGAAGATGGCTACCCTGTCACCATGCTTCCTGCCACCAAGTGGGACGGTCTCACCTTTTGTTCAAGAAGCAGTGGGCCGCAGTGAGAATCCACCGGCCCGACACGAGGGAGCCTCCGCAGCTGTGCTTGTGTCCTGTTATCGTGGGGAGCTGCAAGCTGACCACCCAAGGCCACGCCCCAGCCTGGGCATCGACTCCGCCCACCACCTGCTCACTTCGGCCATGTCCTGGCACTAAGGGGTGTCTTCCGCAAACACTGGAGAGAGAAACAAGCATTGATTCCTGACTAGCAGCAGGACGGTGACCGTCAGCCAATATGCCCCCTCTCGGCAACTAATAGCAATAGCGCTTAGACCTATATACTGCTTCACCGTGCTTTACAGCCCCTCTCTAAGTGGTTTACAGAGTCAGCCTTTTGCCCCCAACAATCTGGGTCCTCATTTTGCCGACCTCGGAAGGACGGAAGGCCGAGTCGACCTTTTAGCCGGTCAGGATCGAACTGCTGGCAGTGGGCAGCCAGCAGAATTAGCTTGCAGTCCTGCATTCAAACCACTGCGCCACCACACAGTTCTATAATCCTAGCCATGCTAGCCAAGATGGTGCTTGGCCCCTCACCCACACCCCTCCTCCCAAGCACATAGCCTCCTTGGGAGCCTCGTTCCAAGGGTTGCCTCTTGGAACCCTTTCTGGATCGGGCCCGTCCTCCTTTTTCCTCCTTCTCACTTACTTACTCGCAAGTATCAACTATGGTGTGAGTGGGCCAGACAGAAGCCAGGATCTGGAGTGGAAGGAGGATGCATCTCATCCTCTTGATGGCTCCAGATGCTCCTCTGATTCTCTCATTCTCCTAGCGGCCGTGATGTCACAAGTGCACGGAGCCCAGTTGCAGCCAATCAGCACCCAGGCAGTATGACCTCATACAGAATGTGCCAGCTCCAAGCAGCATTTGTCCCCTTCCAAATGCCTTGGCACATCTGGCCCAGATGATGATGGAGACTAAGCCGCGTCATTGGAGGAGTGGCTAGCCAGGATCTGGTCTGCATTTTGGGAGGTCCTCCTGAGAAGCACCCATCATTCCTGGTCCTCCGTCTGGGGGCCTTCCTGAGTCCAGGGACCGCAGGACAGAAAAGGTGGAGGGATGAATGAAGGCAAATATGTGTGTCCCAGGATAATATTACAGGATCCATTCTGGATCAATTAACAGGACAAAAGGTCTACTCTTTCAAGCTTTTGGACTTGAGCTGGAACCCATCCTATGGGAACTTCTCTCTACCGGAATATGTGCTTTGGGCTATTCGATGAGTCACATTTATCCTTGTGACGACAAGCCCACAAGGCAGAATGCTGAAGGATAGTGTTCTCCTGGTCCAGGGGTAGGCAACCTTGGCTCTTTTATGACTCGTGGACTTCAACTCCCAGAATTCCTGAGCCAGCATAGGGGAACTATGGCCCCCTCATGACTCGTGGACTTCAACTCCCAGAATTCCTGAGCCAGCATGAGGGAACTATGGCCCCCTCATGACTCGTGGACTTCAACTCCCAGAATTCCTGAGCCAGCATGGGGGAACTATGGCCCCCTCGTGACTCGTGGACTTCAACTCCCAGAATTCCTGAGCCAGCATGAGGGAACTATGGCCCCCTCATGATTTTTGGACTTCAACTCCCAGAATTCCTGAGCCAGCCTGGCTCAGCTTGGAAACCTCTCCCTTTCCCCTCAGCATGGCTGGCTCAGGAACTCTGGGAGTTGAAGTCCACGAGTCATAAAAGAGCCAAGGTTGCCTAGCCCTGCCCTAGGAAAACAGTATTAATAACTGGCCCTTCTGTTAACGCCATTTTTAAAAATTAAGCTCTTTTGCCCAAAAAACCACCTTATGCAAATATTCTTCTGGTTTTCTTTCTCAGTTGATGTCTGGAATTTCTGGACATGGTGGACAACTACTCTTCAATCCCAGCTGCAGAATGATAAATATTGCTCGTGCCTGGTGAAACGTCTTAGCGTTCCATGAAATAAATAAGACACATTTCTGGAAGGAAACATTTTATTCAGGGTGTGTTTCTACAGGAGAGCAGCTGCCAGACTTCATTGGGGTTCAGCCAACCAAGGTGACGGTGTGAAGCCGTGGTAGCTCTGATGAAGCTCTTCTCCTTCCAGAAACGGACTTAAGGCTGTCTGCCAGGACATTGGCTCCTGGTCCCTGGAACCGGCCGTTTGCACCCTAGTCTGAAATAAGGTTTCCTGAGAAGCTTCTCTGGTGGGCTCAGGGCTCAGTCGTGTTCCTAAGCTGTCCGAAATTCAGCTGTCATGTGGAGCTTGGGGCCAGGAGCTAGGGGCCAACTCGATTTCAAATGGTGTGTTTATAAAAGTGGCTACAGAAATCTGATAAATGATAAAAAAAAATATGGGGCAAATGAAAAGTAGGACGCAGGTTGTCAAAAGTTCAGGAGCTGGGTGGTAGGGATTACCCCAGAAAGAGCCTGGTCGTGGATGCTTTATCTGGGCCATGATGGGATGGAAGTCCCCAGTTTCCTTAAAGGGGGCGCCTGTTCCAGTATTGTGTCTGAGGCCACCGAAAACGCGTGGTGTGCGGAAAGGCTGTGTACTTTCTCCGGGGCACCCTATAAATTATGCTAGGCCCCTTGCCCCAGCCCAGGAAGGCCGTGGTGGGGGTTGGCCACCGTGGTGTGTTCTGAGGGAAGAAGGTGAAAGGTGAGAATGTCCTCGGGGGTCCCGTGTACCAAGGCCAGGTGGTGCGTTTCACGGGCGGTCTCCACTTGCGTGTCGGAAGGCTATACGTGTTCGCCTCTGGGAAGTACCCAACTAGCATCCCGTTGACCTTTTTGTAAATGGGGTTGAGATAATACACTCCCGTGAACCGGCTTGGGGGCGGAGGGGTGGGGGTGCGGGGCGTGGTTGGTCTGAATGGAGGAGAGAGGCCAGAGGCAGGGGGGTTCGCCAGGATGTCCTTGATCCAGGTGAGGAAGGACTGGGTGGAAGTGAAGACTCCGGGGGATTTGCCACTGGAGCATCCAGTGCCCCAGCTGTTGAGACCGATCAGCCAGTAGCGCTCAGTGTGAGGTGTCCTGCACATCAGGGGTCCACCGCCATCACCCTGCAGGAAGAGGGAGAGGAGACATAACCAGGGAGCGCAGCATCACCATCCATGGACATGCAACAGCAGAAGACTCAGCAATCACTTTTATGCCCTTTTATAAACCCTTAGTAATCTCGCAAAAGAATTGAGGCCTTTGAACTATGGTGCAGGAGAAGACTTCTGCGAGTCCCTTGGACTGCAAGGCGATCAAACCGGTCGGTCCTAGAGGAGATCAACCCTGACTGCTCTTTAGAAGGCCAGATCCTGAAGTTGAAACTCAAGTACTTTGGCCACCTGATGAGAAGGAAGGACTCACTGGAGAAGAGCTTGATGCTGGGAAAGATGGAGGGCAAGAGAAGAAGGGGACGACAGAGAACGAGGTGGCTGGATGGAGTCCCTGAAGCAGCAGGCATGAGTTTGAATGGACTCCAGAAGATGGTAGAGGACAGGAAGACCTGGAGGAACGTGGTCCATGGGGTCGCGATGGGTCGGACACGACTTCGCAATTAACAACAACAACAACAATCCCACAATGGATGAACGGCTGCCAAAGTTGATGGAGTTAGCAGAGATGGTTAAACTGACCGCTTTGCTGTGATGCGCATTTCTGACCTCCTGCCAGCTTCCTCCTTGATTCTGTGGTCAGAAGTCAGCAGCAAAGTTTGCAAATAGTGGTCACATGACCATGGGATGCTGCAGCTGGGAGTCGGTTGCCAAGTACACGATCCCAGGGATGCTATGATGGCCACAGCCATGAGGACCAGTTATAAGTCCCCTTGTTGTCTATGGTAGGGGTCCCCAAGCCCCGGTCTGTGGACCAGTACCGGGCCACAGCATACCAGCAACCGGTCTGCACAAACAAGCAAAGTCCCATCTGTGGGATGCAGGCAGCACACAAAACCACACCGTCTCTGGTCCACAGAAAAACTTTTCTCCACAGAACTGGTCCCTGGTGCCCAAAAGGTCAGGGGACCTCTGGTCTATGGAAATTCTCAGTCGTCCAGGTCACAGTTGTCCCAGAAATGCTTTTTTCCAAAAGGCAACAGAACCTTGAACAGGACCTGGACAGACTTGAACACTGGGCACTAACTAACAAAATGAAATTCAATGGTGAAAAAAGCAAGGTTCTACTTTTAGGCAAGAAAAACCAAATGCACAAGTACAGCATAGGTGGCACCATGCTCAATAGTAGTAACTGTGAGAGGGACCTCAGAGTCCTAGTAGACAATCACCTAAATATGAGCCAGCCATGTGCTGCAGCTGCCAAAAAGACCAACACCGTGCTAGGCTGCATTAAAAGAGGGATAGAATCAAGATCACGTGAAGTATTAATACCACTCTTCAATGCCTTGGTAAGGCCACACTTGGAATACGGCATCCAGTTTTGATCACCACGATGTAAAAAAGATGTTGAGACTCTAGAAAGAGTACAGAGAAGAGCAACAAAGATGATTAGGGGACTGGAGGCTAAAACATATAAGGAACGGTTGCTAGAATTGGGTATGTCTAGTTTAACGAAGAGAAGGACGATAGGGGACATGATAGCAGTCTTCCAGTATCTCAGGGGCTGCCCCAAAGTAGAGGGAGTCAAGCTATTCTCCAAAGCACCAGAAAGCAGGACAAGACGCAATGGATGGAAACTAATCAAGGAGAGAAGCAACCTAGAACTAAGGAGAAACTTCCTGACAGTGAGGACAATTAATCAGTGGAACAACCTGCCTCCAGAAGCAGTAAATGCTCCAACACTGGAAGTTTTTAAGAAGAGACTAGACAGCCACCTGTCCGAAATGGTGTAGGGTTTCCTGCCCGAGCAGGGGATTGGACTAGATGACCTCCAAGGTCCCTTCCAACTTTACTACTATTACTATTACCTTCTTGGTTTTTGTTTGAAAATGTTTTGCTTCTCATCCAAGAAGTTCTTCCGTTCTAGGGGAAGAACTAAGAACTGACATTAGAATTGAAGAAGCTTCTTAGATGAGAAGTGAAATGCTTTCAAACAACAACAAAAAAAAAAAACCCAGGTCTACTTGCCTTTTGGAAAAAGCATCTTTGGAAAAGTGTCCTTGCTCAGCACCATTGTAACTTCTAGTGATTGCTGAGCAAGTAGTCCTTAAAGGAGGACTACCTGTGTTTTTCTCTCTCTGGCACCTCTCAGATCCTGGAGAAGGGGAGTGAGCCTGAAGAGCAGATCCGAGGTAAAGAGGCCTCTGTCCTGGGCACACTTACCCGGCAGCTGCCCTTGTTGGGATCGTCAGACACGGCACACAGGTGTTCCTCTCTTATGAGTGTCGAATACTGTTCAGAGCTGTTGCACTCACTTCGGGCCACCAGCGACACTTCGGCCTCTTGTAGGATGTCCGAATATTTGGCTCCCTCTGTGAGCAGAAGAGAAGATTGTATCACCCCACCAGTATCCAGTTCCTGACCAGAGACTGGCCTCAGCAGACCTCTTGACCCAGGCTTCAGGTGCAAACAGAAGGGCTGAATATCAGAGATTCATTCTGGAAAGTCCCTCGGCTAGTATTGTGATTAAGTTCCCATAATGCCAATGACCTTGTTATTGAATTAAGTCACTTACTGGCTTCACACTATGCATCGCATCCTAAACTAACAAGGTTGGATTCATGCGATAAACTAACATCCCTCCCCGGCCCTCTCCCCAGTTTAAATTAACCAAGTTAACTTGCACAATTATTTGACAGGGATGGTATAGGGCTCCTGCCTTGCGTAGGGGGCTGGACTAGAAGACCTCTGAGGTCCCTCCCAGACTTAGTATTCTATTTCTAAGTTTAGAAGGTGGTTGTGAATGGCACCACTAACTTGGACAACTTGGGAGTGCAGCCAGAGGGACGTAATATCTAGTCCTGTCCTTCAAAAGAATGCATTGGAACATCATCTCATCTCTATCTCTATCTACACAAGAGGAGCTTTTCTTTAAAATATTATTTTTGGCTCACCCAGCTCTCTAGTTCAACTTCCATCAATCACTGAACCTGATAGAAAGATATGAACAAAGGCATATCTTTAAGGAGATGCAAGCAAAGGTTCCTGAGGTCAGGAGTGGCCAAACTCTGGGTCAACTGTAGGACAATGTTCTCCTTCCTGCTCTCACTAGACCAGGGTTTGGCAACCTTGGCTCTTTTATGACTCGTGGATTTCAACTCCCAGAATTCCTGAGCCAGCACAGCTGGCTCAGGAATTCTGGGAGTTGAAGTCCACGAGTCATAAAAGAGCCAAGGTTGCCAAACCCTGCACTAGACCAAGGATGCTATCAGAGAGTTTCCTTAAGAGATGCAGAGGACCCATTTTTCCTGCTTCCGATATTCCTATGCCCAGCCTAGGACCCACAGCACCACATTGTTTTCCTACTTTCTAAAACTACAGTGTGATGCCTTCAAGATCTCCTGACCAACGGTTGGGTGTCTCTCAGACTTTTCTCCAAACTTGATGATGTGTTGGGGAACTGAACCCAGAGGGTGCCTAGAGCCCCCCAATTTTCATGAGGATAGGGATGGGGGTGGGGTGGGGATTGTTACTGGTTTATTTAATTTTGGGGACTCTCACTCTCCATGATCGTGATGCCCCAGCCACAGATGTAGCAGTGGGTGAGCGAGTCTAGGTCCAGGTCTCCCTCCGGCAGGCAGGCGGGCTGGACATAATCGTTGCAAATTACGGGTTTGTCCATTTCTACCAAAGCAATGTTATTCAAGTGCGTGTCACGGTCATAGCGAGCGTGGTTGACCAGCCTCTTGATGACCCGGTTCTGGGCATCAGGCCCAGGTTTGGAGCGCTGGGTAGCCCCAATCTGCAGTCTGAAGTACTCCACTTTAAGGTACCTGGGTAAAAGGGGAGACAGGAGATCACATTACATAAGACGAGGTCAACTTTTAAGAGGTCCATTGATGTCTTGGAACGGGAAGGCAATGGCCAGGATCCTGACTGCAATTCCCATATGAGCCCTTGCAGTTTAGGGACTTGGGATGCCAAGGGGGAAGCAGGAGGAACAGTGGAGAATTTGGGGCTCATCTAAAAGAAGGGATCCTTCCTCCTTATCTGAGGAAAACAGCAAACATCTACCTGGCATGGGGATCATGTTGCCTCTCATTCATTACCTGCTGGACGAAAGGAGCCTTGAAGGAAGATTATTTCTTATGCTGAGGGGAGTGGGCGACAAGTGCGAGGAAGCCCCCAGACTCAAGAGAAATCAAAGAGTCTCAAAACACCCCCTCCCCAGCAAATTAAGCAAATGATGATGAGTCTAGGCCAGTGGTTCTCAACCTGTGGGTCGGGACCCCATTTGGGGTCGAACGACCATTTCACGGGGGTCGCCAAACAACGCAGTCCGCCATTTTTCCCCCCTTTTCCTTAGCTGTGCTACTCCCTTTTATTCTATTGGCTTTTGAAAGCCAATAGAATGGACTCTCTTGAATAGAGTCTAATTCTATTGGCTTTCAAAAGCCAATAGGAATTGTCCAGGCTGTCTCTGCCCTGCTGAGCCCGCCAAAAGTCCCATTCTGCAAACGGTGCTGCACCAGTTGAGTAGTCCTCGACTTACGACCGGTTGAGTAGTCCTCGACATACGACCGATTGGGGGTTGGGGCATTAAAAAGGTTGAGAACCACTGGTCTAGGCTGAAAGGCCAAAGAGGACTCCGTGAAAAGACATCTGCTAGAAGACCTCCAAGGTCCCCTCCACCCATATTATTCTATGTTCTAACTGGAAATGGGATCTTCTGGAGATATCTCCAGACTTCTGTGAGTTTCTTTGCTCTAGAAATTTGCATGTTTCTACACTTTTTCCTTTTGGGGAGACCCCTTAAGACATTTTGAATGGAATTGCAGCTGGAAGCATGCAACGTTCTAGAGATGGCCGGACTGCAACAATCATGCTTCTAGTGCTGAATGCTTAAAATGGTAGCATCCAGAGATCAAGCTTGATAACCATGCTTCTAGTGTTGAAGGAACTCAGAATGGTGGCATCCAGAGATCAAGTGTTATGGAGAGCTCATGTCTCACAGACAATTTGAAAGAGATTGGATCTCTCCTTGATAAGATGGTTGACACAGTACAATTTCTCTTAAAGGTCAATTGGGTTAGGGTTAGGGTTAGAGGGTTAGGGTTAGAGGGTTAGGTTTAGAGGGCTAGGGCTAGGGCTAGGGTTAGGGTTAGGGTTAGGGCTAGGGTTAGGGCTAGGGTTAGGGTTAGGGCTAAGGGTAAGGCTAGGGCTAGGGTTAGGATTAGGGCTAAGGCTAGGGCTAGGGCTAGGGCTAAGGCTAGGGCTAGGATTAGGGCTAAGGCTAAGGCTAGGGCTAGGGCTAGGGCTAGGGTTAGGGTTAGGGCTAGGGCTAGGGCTAGGGTTAGGGTTAGGGCTAAGGCTAGGGCGAGGGCTAGGGCTAGGGCTAGGGCTAGGGCTAGGGTTAGGGTTAGGGTTAGGGTTAGGGTTAGGGCTAGGGCTAGGGCTAGGGCTAGGGCTAGGGCTAGGGCTAGGGTTAGGGTTAGGGTTAGGGTTAGGGTTAGGGTTAGGGTTAGGGCTAGGGCTAGGGCTAGGGCTAGGGCTAGGGCTAGGGCTGGGGCAAGGGTTAGGGCTAGGGCTAGGGCTAGGGCTAGGGCTAGGGCTAGGGCTAGGGCTAGGGCTAGGGCTAGGGCTAGGGCTAGGGCTAGGGCTAGGGCTAGGGCTAGGGCTAGGGCTAGGGCTAGGGCTAGGGCTAGGGCTAGGGCTAGGGCTAGGGCTAGGGCTAGGGTTAGGGTTAGGAAGAAGACAAAGCCAAGAAGGTGCAAATTAAATCCAAGAGATAAAAAGAGCCATCAGCTCCTTCCCCACCCCCCACCCCCAGTATGGCAGCTTCTCAACAAGAAGCTTCTCAACCATGGCAATCAGAAAATGCATGGTCTTCAACTCCCAGAATTCCCCAGCTAGTATGTCTACGGAGGTTCTCAGTCATCCAGGTCACGGTTGTCCCACAGTTGCTTTTTTGCAAGGCAACTTGACTTTCTTTTTTCTCTCTGAAGATTTTTTGCTTCTCATCCAAAAAGCTTCTTCAGCTCCATTCCCCACCATCCAGTCAGAGCTGAAGAAGTTTCTTGGATGAGAAGTGAAATGTGTTCGGAGAGAAAAAAGAAAGCCCAGTTGCCTCATGAAAAACCACCTGTGGGATCCCCAGCTAGTACGACAACTTCTGAAGCAGAAGCTTCTCAGCTTGGCAACCTGAAGAAACATGGACTTCCCAGCCAGTGTGGCTAGCTGGGGAATTCTCGGAATTGGTCCACACATCTTGAAGGTGCTACAATTGAGAAACAATGGCCTAGAGCAGGGGTCTTCAAACTTGGCCCTTTGATGACTTGTGGACTTCAACTCCCAGAATTCCTCAGCCAGGCACACGTGCCTAGCTGAGGAATTCTGGGAATTGAAGTCCACAATTCATAAAAGGGCCAAGTTTGAAGACCCCTGCTTGTGGACTTCAACTCCCAGAATTCCTCAGCCAACATGCCTAGCTGAGGAATTCTGGGAATTGAAGTCCACAATTCATAAAAGGGCCAAGTTTGAAGACCCCTGCTTGTGGACTTCAACTCCCAGAATTCCTCAGCCAACATGCCTGGCTGAGGAACTCTGGGAGTTGAAGTCCACAAGTCATCAAAGGGCCAAGTTTGAAGACCCCTGACCTAGAGATTCACTGGTTCTCATTTTTGATCTCGGGACATTCTTGTTGTTTTTTGTTTTGCTCACTTGAGAATGAGGAAGCACTGGGCCGTCGAAATAACCCAGCGAGAATTGATCAAGGAGCCGGCACAGAAATGGTGGAAGCCCTGCCGGGTCGGGAACTGGAAGCTGACCACCCAGGGCCACGTTCCTGGCAGGGAATCGATCCCGCCCACAATCCGCAGCATGCCGTGGCTCATGGCTAGTGGCCGGCTGCCACACACCCTCCTGCAGAAAAAGAGGGGGCAATTGATTGATGGATTGATTGATGGATTTAGCTACAGCCTCCCCTGAGGTCCTGCAATCACTGGTGTACAAGACTAACAAAACACATTATACAGACATAGACAAATATAAGGTTGTGTACTGGCAGTCTTCAACTTACAACAGTTCATTTAGTTCAGTGGTTCTCCACCTGTGGGTCAGGACCCCATTTGGGGTCGAGCAACCATTTCACGGGGGTCGCCAAACAATGCAGTCCGCCATTTCCCCCCCCCCTTTTCCTTAGCTGTGCTACTCCCTTTTATTCTATTGGCTTTGGAAAGCCAATAGAATAGACTCTCTTGAATAGAGACTAATTCTATTGGCTTTCCAAAGCCAATAGGAATTGTCCAGGCTGTCTCTGCCCTGCTGAGCCCGCCAAAGGTCCCAGTCTGCAAACGGTGCTGCAAGTTGTCTGCAGCGAAGGTGAGCTGTCTGGAAGCTTCCACCCTTCCCTGCTGAGCAACTACTCAAAATGTAAGTAAAAGAGGGCCAGGGGTGGGAGGGGGGAGGCCGGCGGGCGCAGGGAGGGTTGCTGGCGCGCGTGGGGCCCGGCGGGTGCCTTACCTCCCTTGGGCTGGGCCAGTTGGTGGCCCAGCCGGTGGTCGCCTGCGCCGTCTCTGCCACTTGCCAGCTACGCCTCGGCCGGCACAGCGGGTGGCACCATGCATGCGCAGCGCTCCAGGGCAGGGAAAGTCCTTGACTTACGACTGGTTTAATCCTCGACTTATGACCGGTTGTTTAGTCCTCGACGTACGACCGGTTGGGGGTCGCGGCATTAAAAAGGTTGAGAACCACTGATTTAGTGACTGTTCAAAATCACAACTGAAAAAAGGGACTTGTGACTTATGACAAGCAAAGTCCAGGGGGAACCCAGGTTCGCTTAACAATAGTTTGACTAACTTAATCATTGTAGTGATTCCTTTAACAAAGGTAGCAAGAAATGTGGTAAAATGGGGCAAACTCACTTAACAAATGTTTCACTTAGCAAGGGAAATTTCGAACTCAGTTGTGGCATTAAGTTGAGGGCTACCTGTAGCATATCAGCAAATACACACACACACACACATACACACAGAGAGACAAACACACACACATGGTTGTATGAACCCAGCCCATTGATGTGACCGGAAAGGCAATTGAACTAAGACTGCAAGGGTGTCTGTGGAGATTCTCCATCGTCCAGATCATGAGAAAGAAAGTTCTTTTTCCAAAAATCAACTAGACTTTCTTGGGTTTTTTCCTTTGAAAATGTTTCACTTCTCCTCCAAGAATCTTCTTCCACCCAGATGTTCTTCTGAGAAGAAGCTTCAGGAGGAAGTTTTTTGTTATCAAACTGAATGAAGAATGGCAGGAAGGAAATATGGGAGGCAACCAGCTCTTTCCCTCCTCCTCCTCCTCCTCCTCCTCCTCCTCCTCCTCCTCCTCCTCCTCCTCCTCCTCCTCCCCTCCTCCTCCTCCTCCTCCTCCTCCTCCTCCTCCTCCAGGGTCCAGCCTGCTGGGACAACCCCCAGCAGGACCTCAAGGTCACCGTTTATGCTGTTGCTACCCATCTCCAACAACCATCCCTCCCACTCCGGCCACCAGGACAACCAAATGTTGACCGTGAAGGGACCCCCTCCAGCTGTGGCCCTCACTTACGTGCAAGTGTCCTCTTCATTATCGTAGATTAAACACAGCGCATCAACTGCCCAGAGGAGCAGCAGCAGCTTCTTCATCCTACATCGCTCAACAAGTGTCGGGTCCCACCTCCTGCTCCCAGGGCTCATGACATCACAAACTGTCCTTTCAGTCCCCAGCCAATTAGCCAACAGACAATGTGACATCACACTGAAGGACCACAATTCTTTGCTGCTGTTTGCTTTCGAAGGGCCAATGGCAGGGACCCCCTTTGGGCATCTGGCTGGGGCCTTCAAAACACTCCACCTTGCTGAGGAAGGGAACCCATTCTGCACGTGGGGGCAGGGAGCGGTCAGGAATGCCAGCTGTCTTATTGGGTCAGCAACAACAGGACGTCTGAGCGAGCAGCAGGCTGGACTGTTGTCGGAGGACTTTGTCCAGTTATATTTACAAAAAATGTAAACGATCTGGAGCGGGTTCAGAGAAGCACTATCAAAATGGGAAAGGGTTTGGAGGCCAAGTCCCTTGAGAATGGTGAAGGGTGCAGATGCTACTGATAGAAGAGTATATTTGTAGCTTGGGTTGAACTGTGGCGTCCTTGGTTCTCTCTGAGCTGCGTGGTTTTCTTGCAGCTGTTTCATGACCCAACTAGGGAAAATCATCAGAACAAGAAGAGAGTAGGATTTGGGGGGGGAGGGGAGGAGGAGGAGGAGGAGGAGGAGGAGGAGAAAAGGACTGAGGGGTCTTTGATCCTCTTTGAGCTTGGCGATTTTCTTGCAGATGTTTCATGACCCAACTAGGGAACATCAACCGTACTAGAAGAGAGTAGGTTTTGTGCAGGGCGGATGATGATGATGATGACGAGGAGGAGGAGGAGGAGGAGGAGGAGGAGGAGGAGGAGGAGGAGGAGGAGGAGGAGGAGGAGGAGAAAAGGACTGAGGGGTCTTTGATCCTCTTTGACCTTGGCGATTTTCTTGCAGATGTTTCATGACCCAACTAGGGAACATCAACCGTACTAGAAGAGAGTAGGTTTTGTGCAGGGCGGATGATGATGATGATGATGACGAGGAGGAGGAGGAGGAGGAGGAGGAGGAGGAGGAGGAGGAGGAGGAGGAGGAGGAGGAGAAAAGGACTGAGGGGTCTTTGATCCTCTTTGACCTTGGCGATTTTCTTGCAGATGTTTCATGACCCAACTAGGGAACATCAACAGTACTAGAAGAGAGTAGGTTTTGTGCAGGGCGGATGATGATGATGATGATGATGACGAGGAGGAGAAAAGGACTGAGGGGTCCTTGGTGCTCTCTGAACTTGGCTGTTTTCTTACAGATGTTTCATGAACCAACTAGGGAACATCATCAATGCTAGAAGGGAGGGGGATTTGCCAGGGAGGAAGGAGGAGGAAGGAGGAGGACTCTGGGGTCTTTGGTGGTCTCTAAGCTTTGTTGTTTTTCTTGCAGGCCTTTCATTACCAAACTCGGTAACCTCATCAATGCTACCCTCACAAGTATCATTAATGATATTACTTAGTTGGGTCATGAAACATCTGCAAGAAAAACATCCAGGCTCAGAGAGCACCAAGGACCCCACGCGTAGCTTGCCCAAGAGATGATGGAGGAGGAATATAATAGCAGCCTACAAATATCTAAAAGGATCTCCTTTGTGAGAGGATATATTCTCTATTGAGAAGGACAATGTAACCTCCATCATCTCTGCACCATCAATATTCACCCAGCTTCTAATTGGCTTCCACTTTCTTGGGAGGAGCAAAATGGGAACTCCTTTTTTTCTTCTTTCTTTCTCATTCCCCTAATCCACGTTGGCACCATTTTTTCATAATCTGAAGAGGATTAATTTCCCAGTGTATAATTCCAGACCACAAATATCTTCACACGTCCGATATTAATTTTTTAATATATTTTTTTATTTCAACGTGCACTTTAAAGAACCAAATAAATAAATAAAGTCCTACGAGAAATTCCAACGAAAGTTAGTTATAAGAAGGTGAAATCAACCTGTAGCAAGATTCCCTCACTTCAGCCGGGAATGTTGGAGAGAACAAGACGCTGGGATTGGGGATCCCAGTGGAAGAAGTGACTTTTGGTTTATGGCCAAACAAGGATGGGGACCAGGGCACCATCCCTGAGGGCTTCTTCCTTCCTGCTGTCCTCTGTCCTGCTTCTCTTAAGATATCTACCCCCTGTGGGGTCCTCTGGGGGGCAAGAGCATGGGAGACTGACTGCCAGGTTGGGCAAAACTTGGATTCCAGTTGTAAGAGACATAATGACCAGGGGGCGATAATCTGGGGTTCGGTTGCTGTTGTAATTGATGTGAGGCCCACGTCTGCCCAAACCCTCCAGCGGGCCTGGCCCTATGGTACCACTTTCTGGGAGTTGTCCTCAAATGTCGTGTCAGACTCCATAGGGCAGGCCCTGTCCAGGGACGATGAGTAGCATGGGTTCTTCTCCATGAAGGAGTTACGGTTCCCCATTTTGACGGCCTTGTCCCAGTAACTAAGTACCACCGTGTGGGAGGAAGGAAGTACCACCGTGAGGGCTTCCACATAGGAGGAGGCCTGGGAGCATGTGTGAACTGAGAGGAAGGAGGAGGCCTGGGACCAACTGTGAACCGAGAGGAAGGGGGAGGCCTGTACCCAGGAGTGAACTGAGGGGGAGGCCTATACCCAGGTATAAACCAAGGGGGAAGTTTGCGCCTAGGTGTGACCTGAGGGGGAGGCCTACGCCCAGGTGTGAACCGTGGGGGAGGCCTGGGAGCAGGTGTGAACTGAGGGGGAGGCCTGGGAGCAGGTGTGAACCGTGGGGGAGGCCTGGGAGCAGGTGTGAACTGAGGGGGAGGCCTACGCCCAGGTGTGAACCGAGGGGGAGGCCTGGGAGCAGGTGTGAACCGAGGGGGAGGCCTGGGCCTTGGTGTGAAAGGAGAGGAAGGGGGAACCATGGGCCCTGGTGTGAGTGAAGGGAAAGTTGGAGGCCTGGGTGAAGAAGGGGGCTTGGGACGCTCCCACATCACCTTTGGGGTGCTGGATTGGGTCGGGGATGTTGGCAATGGCTTTTCAGGAGGCCAGACCGCAGCCAGCACTGGCTTGTGGGTTGCCTTGTACAGATCCTCTTTGGTCATGGTTGCGATCCAGTCGATGTAGACTTGTGTGGAGGTGAAGACCCCTGGCTTCCGGAAGTTAACACAGGTCATTAGTCCCCAGCTGGTGACTCCCACGACCAAGTACCGCTCGGATCGCTCTTCCCTGCACATGAGAGGCCCTCCACTGTCGCCCTAGAGCCGGAAGGGGGAAAGGTGGCGATGAGCAGACCACCCACGATTGCAGTTGGATTCTCCCCTGCCCGTCCCTTTAGCGTTCAGTGCCACCGTTGAGAAGATCATTTATTCTCCGAAGACATTTCGGTTCTCAACCAAAAAGCGTGAGTTCTTCAGAACCGAGGAAGCTTCTTGGATGAGAAGCAGAACCTTTTCAAAGAAAAAAAATCAAGAAAGTCCAGTTGCCTTTTGGAAAAAGCACCTTTGGGACAACCATGACCTAAATGACAGGGAATCTCCATAGAGACATCAGTGAGGAGAAGTGAGCTCTTGTAGATGAACTTGACAGATACGCTTGGAGTTGCCAAGAGTTGCCACAGCCTGCCAAGCAGAAGGAAGTCATGACCCAGAGTCAACGGGCATTTGGAAACTGTCTGTCAACAGAGGGCATCATTAATGGATCAGGATGGCCAGAGTAGGCAATGCTTGCCCCTGAGAAGAAGTTGCGTCTTTTTGAGTGTTGTTCAGGCCATTTGGACATTTACCTGTGTTTTCAGGGTCACCTGAGCAGTGCAAGTCTGTGTGGAGCCTTCTGGGCTGCAGGATATTTTGGGCCCTGCGTCCCTTCACTGTTGAAGACTGGTGGAGGCTGTTGGAGAAGAGTCTCTGTGTTGTCTGCATCTCAGACTGAAGCACAAATGGTCCCTGTAGTCGGCAACGTCTTCATACTCCCACACCATTCGAAGGCTCCACACCCATTTGCACCTCTCAGGTGACCTTCAGGACACAAACAAGCTTCCAAACAGCCTCAACGACTCTCTAAAAGACTGCAAATGGCCAGCTGTCCGCAAGGAGTATAAATCCTCTCATTCCCCACCACCCAGTCAGAACCTGAAGAAGCTTCTGGGATGAGGAGCGAAAGGTCTTCAAAGAAAAACAAGGAAGTCCAGTTGCCTCCTGAAAAAAAGCACCTTTGGGTTCAACTTCCAGAATCCCCCCAACCAGCGTGGCTGAATGGGGAATTCTGGGAGTCCAGACATCTCAAAGTTGAGAAGCACTGTCTCCATGGTGAAAAAGTCACCACAGTGTTCTTCAAACATTAAACATTATTCTCCAGGAGCCCTCTTCAGAAGAAAGGCTTAACGTTCCAGAGGTCAACCTCCGAAACGCTAGTTGAGTCCCTGGAAGATGTGGGGGGGGCAACTAAGCCCCCAGCTGCCTACCTGGCACGTATTGATTTCTCCTTTCTCGTGTCCAGCGCAGATGTTCTCGGGCCTGATGCGTTTGTGCCACCATGAGATGCTGCTGCATGTGTGGTGAGGGATGAGTTTAACAATCCCCTCCTGCAACACGTCAGGCTGCCTTTGGGCTGTGGAGAGAAGGCAGAACAGATCACCAGCCTGCATTTCTCCTATGCTCAACGATTCAAGAGGCGCAACTGTCTCCACCATGGAATGACAGAATAACAGAGTCGGAGGTCATCTAGTCCAGCCCCTTGCTCAAGCAGGAGACCCTGTACCATTTCAGACAAAGGGCTATCCAGTCTCTTCTTAAAAACGTCCAGTGTTGGAGCATTCACAACTTCTGGAGGCAAGGAGTTCCACTGGTTAATTGTTCTGACTGTCAGGAAATTTCTCCTTAGTTCCAGATTGCTTCTCTCCTGGATTAATTTCCCATCTATTGCTTCTAGTCATGCCTTCAGTCTTTTTCAGGGGCCCTTTCCCACCCCCCCAAAGCCCCTCACCTTTGACCTCCATGGTTCCCCAGCCACTGATAGAGCATTGGACAAGCTTTGAGATGGTCACACTCTTGTCAGGCAAACAAGCCGGCTGGATGTAGTCATTGCAGCGGACCGGCTCCGTCAGCTCCACCAAGGAAATGTCGTGTTGTATCCCTCCGTCTGTGTTGTTCAGTTCGTTCTTGTATAGCTTATGGTTGATCACCCTCTTGATCAGACGGTTCTGGGCATCAGGACTAGGTTGGGAGATCCGGTTGAGCCCGAGCACCACCCTGTACCATGATACCTCCCTGGAACAAAGAACAGGTCCATGTCCGGAGAAGATATTTCAGAGGGTCTGCCCAGGGCCTTGGACCCCTTGAGGAAGCCCTGGAGGAAGAGGACAGGAGGGCCTGCTGGTAAGAGCAACAGGAACAGGAAGGGTAGACAGCCCTTCCTTCCTTCCTTCCTTCCTCCCTCCCTCCCTTTCCTCCCTTCCTTCCTTCCCTCCTTCCTTGAAATTAATGTAAGAGGAGAGAGACACTGAAGCAAGGCATATAACTTTTATAAGGAAACATTTGTACATGACAGAAAAAGAGAGAGAAGTAGGTGGGAGGGAGGGAGGAAGAGAGAGAGAGAGAAAGAGAGAGGGAAGGAAGGAAGGAAGGAAGGAAGGAAGGAAGGAAGGAAGGAAGGAAGGAAGGAAGGAAGGAAGGAAGGATGGATGGAAATCATAAGGTGGTAAGCAATCTACAGCTCAGGGCCTGTTGCTTGCTGTCCTCCTTTTTGGAGAGATCAAATTCCTGAATTACAGAGGTCACCCTGTGAAAGGAAGCTGAACTGGGACAAGAAATAACCTCAAAGGCCTTTGGAGCAGTGGTTCTCAACCTGTGGGTCAGGACCCCATTTGGGGTCGAATGACCATTTCACGGGGGTCGCCAAACCATGCTGTCCGCCATTTTTTTCCCTTTAGCTGTCCTACTCCCTCTTATTGGTGGCCACACCCACTTGGGGGTCACCACAACATGGGGAACTGTATGATGGGGTCACGGCATTAGAAAGGTTGAGAATCACTGCTTTGGAGGAAAAAAGAAGAGACCTGCATGTGGATCAATGCCAGGCTGGCCCTATTGATGAACCATGGATTTCATTCCCAAAAGGCTCTGGGCTACCCAGTTGGAGGTCCCTGTAGCATAGCCCTGCCCACCCCACTCCCCCAAGAGGCACCCCCCCCTTTTGCTCACTGTTCTGTCTCAAAGCAGTGGGCGGCAGTCAGGACCCAGCGAGAGCTGAGCAGCGTTCCTCCACAGGCGTTGACGTAGCCTGTTTGCGATGGTAGCTGGAAGCAGACCTGCCAAGGCCAAGTTCCTGGCAGAGCATCGGTGCCCCCCACGATTCGCAGCAGGTTGTGGCTAGCTGCCAACGGACGCCGCCCACAGACCCCACTAAAGAGAAGCACGAATGGAGAGTGGTCAGGAGATAAAAGCCATGGTCTGTATGGATAAGCCACCCTCTCCACCCTGGAGCATAAATCCTTCTTTCCCAGAGCTTTGATGCTATATATCTGGAATCTTTGCTTGGCCCCACCTCTGGGTTCAGGGCCTGCCGTGTCTTGCAGACAAGACAGCCGTATCTGGCAGAAGGCAGAAGCCCAGTGACGCCTCCCATGGGGCAGGGGTGGCCGTGTTGTCCACAGGGCAGTCCTCCAGAGCCTCCCTTTGCCACTCACTCGCAGGTGTTCTCTGTGACTGGCAAGGCAGCTCCAGGGGCCAGCTTCAGCTGCAAAATGGCAAGGACTAGGAGCTGCCCTCTGCAACGTGGACCGGTTCCAAGAGTTGCCATCCTTTCTCCTGGCAGGCCCAGGTGTGTGCTTCTCCTCTTGCATCTTCCTAGAATACATGACATCATAAAACCCAGGAATCCTGGTTCTCTCTCCTCAGCAACCCAGATCATTGAGATCATTGCCCAACCGGGGAGGAGGCAAGTGGGTGATTGGGCAAAACCACCAGGAAGACCTGGGGAAATGAGGAGACATCTCAGCAAGCCAAAGGGGCTAAGGGTGTCCATGTCAGAGGCAAAAGACCAGGTCCACCCAAGACAGTTCAATTTAACTGATTCGTTGCTAAAAGCCTATGCGCAAGGATTTCCTCAACCAGGTCAGCACCTGGTTAGAATTAAATAAAGGTCAATGGCAGTCAAGAGTAATCGGATTGAGTTCATTTGTGACTATGTAGTGATTCTAGGCTGATTCCCTTTTTTCATTGCTCCCTCTGGTTCCGCCAGTCCTTCTCCTGCAGTCCAGCCATATCCCACTTTTCTTTAGGGAAGTTCTGTTTTTTAAAAAGCAGTCAGCCCATCCAATCCAATGAATCACACTTGCATTTGCTCTCTGGAGACTGAAGCTTTGAGAAAGGGAAGTGAGGCAGCATTTGAAGGAGCGCAAGTGAACACTTCCTTCACCCCTAACATCTCTAGTCCTTGAGTTTCCAAATAAATCTGGTTTGGAAAAAAATGGGGGGCTACTCACTTCTCACAGCAGAATCTAGTTTGGTGAATTGGAATTTTATCAGCCTCCCAATGAATGTTTTCTGAGAGCATTTGGGCAGAATTTTTTTTTTCAGACAACGTGAGTAAAGTATCTGTAGAATATGAGAAGGCCCGTTTTGTTAGACACATAAAGTGAGCATCCTCAAAGTATTTGGTCAGTGTATACTTCAGAGCTGGGATTGCAAAGGGCCACAACTTTTTAAAGCAACATTTCCTAACTTTGATAACTTTAAAACATATGAACTTCAACTCCCAGAATTCCCCAGTCAGCATTGCTGGCTGGAAAATTCTGGGAGTTGAAGTTCACATAAAGTTGCCCAGATTGTAAAACACTGCTTTAAATCAATGCAGTGCAATAACCTGAGAGCGATCTTAACTCCTGTATACTTTCATACATTGCCTAAAAAAAGATTGTGTGATGTTATTGTTATTTGTTTTAACTGAAGGATTCAGGAAAGCAGAGTAAGAACCATAGGCTCCATTTATTGTTTAGGGCTTCTCTTTTTGCTAAAGAGGGAACTCCAGTTTTCACCAGGATTGGACTGTTCTGATTCTGGCTCCAGACAGCTTTCAGATCAAAGCTACCATCCCACAGTCTAGATCAGGGGTAGGCAACCTTGGCTCTTTTATGACTCGTGCACTTCAACTCTCAGAATTCCTGAGCCACGAGTCATAAAAGAGCCAAGGTTGCCTACCCCTGGTCTAGATCAATCTGAATGCCCACAAATTCTGTTGTTCTGGAGAAGATTCAGTGGATCCATGAACTTTCAGCCTGGGATTTGTAACTTGATCACCTGACCGGGGAATGGTGGCAGAAAATGTTCAAATGTGATTAATTATTGATTGGGTTTGATGGCTAAGAACAAGTTTGAGATTCACTAAAAGCCATCTTTGTGTAAGAACAAATATTCAAGTCCTTAGCACAGTGACAATGATTAGCAACCAAATGGCACAGAGTGTTTGCAAATTGTCCAGAATTGTACATTAGAGAAGTCTTTACAGATAACCTGGTTCATCTTGTAGAGTTTAACTTCCCCCCTTCCTATACCCCACAAGAAACACTCCTGCTCAAGAACTTTTGGTGAAGAAACTAGTCCTAAATGCATCAGACGTATATAATTAAACTTCAAGAGAACGGTGAGGAAGTTCATGACTAAAAGAATGCTTGAATTTTTATAGTTAAGAATATTTGAGACCTAAAATTTCCAGGGGAGGTTTGGTGAAGACAGCTCTGCAAAAATTGCAAGAACCAAGGAACCTGTGAGTAAATCTGTTCTTTGGAATCTCTCCTAATAAAAGGAGGATGGGAGATCACCCACATGTGCTCCAGATGATTGCTCCTCACAAGGAGACAGCAATTTTCAATGCATTTGAGCAGCAGGAGTTGACAGGACTAAGCTGTACTTTAGGTTTATAATTTTAAAAATGAGGACTTAGATTATTGGGGGGAAGAGGCTGACTCTGTAAACTGCTCAGAGAGGGCTGTAAAGCACTGTGAAGCGGTATATAAGTCTAAGTGCTGTTGCTATTGCTATCATCTTGTGCCAAAAGCTAGATAGTTCCTCATTTCACCAACTCTGAGGCTCTAACTGCTGCTGCTTGACTTCACCTTTTTCTAGGCTGAATTTTTTTTTTTTTTTGCAAGACTACGTTTATTGGAATACCCTGCTTCCATTTTAGCCCAGAAAGATAGGATGCCAACATATTAAAGGATATGATAATTGAAGAGCATTGTGCAGTGGAATAAGCCATGCAAGTCATTAGAAGAGATACTACTTTATTGCTAATATAGAATTACAAATGTTGCTCAACAGAAGAGCAGCCCCAGGAAGAGTGCAACTTCCAGTCTTCTCTTTGAAATAGTTGGTAGGCATGAATCAAGCTGCTGAATGATCCAGGTGTCTCCTTATCCAGATAGGCGCGCACACACACACACACACACACACAGAGAGAGAGAGAGAGAGACACACACACACACACACACACACACCGTGAGTCCTACAAAATACCAAGGCCTTGGGACCAAGCATCACAGCTGACCCCTGCAACAGCGGGTGACTTACTACTGCACACCTCCAGCATCTGTTGTGTCTCAT